CCTAATGGCAATACCATCTGATTGTCTGTACATCTCTTTATCGAACAGAAAACTTAAACTCGTCGTACACCGCAAAAAATCCCTCTAAAAAGGCGCGAAAATTCCACTCTATACCTCCGTTTATCAATTCACTACATATGTAATCCGCTGTTTCCATCAATGGCACGTTGGTGAATAAAGAAGACTCATCCAGAGATATCATGTATTTATCCATCACATTAAGTTCTCTGATTCTCTCCACAAACTCCAAACTGTCTTTTACGCTATTTCCATGGGTTTGTTGTGCGCAACGGCTCTAAAAGTTGAGTGATATAGTGAATTAGATATACAGAAGAGCGGTCTAAGCGGCAAGCCGCTTTTATGAACCTTAGGTAAGCCGTATAACCGTACCGAAAGACCTTAGTGTTTTATACAAAAATGGTGAAATGTGGCCTTTTTTAATGACTCCGTTAACTGTTATTCAGTCTTCTCCGTCGTATCTCTGGCAGTTGATAATTTCTGACATTTAAGACCATCTCTTTTCCTAAGTAATCAGACCTATCCATGATAACCACTCCTAAGTCCTTGTTGGGTCTAGAGGTCACTAAATTATCATTATCATTTGCACTCAGTTTCTTTACAGCCTCTTTGTGTCTTTTGGTCAAAATACCTCAGCATTAAATCTACTATTTATGCATTTACAACAGCAGTCGTCGACTAAAGTTAGCTTAAATCTGTTAATCTCTTCATCCGATGAAGGCCTTGAGTCTCCAGTATGAGCATAAAGGTTTTCAAGTTGAACATGTATGTCCATTTTATTGATCTTTTATGACTCGCGAAATTTCAGACCAAGAGACAAGACTTCTAAATCTGTCATATTAAAACCAGCCCTAGAAAAATTGTGGGCATGCCGTTCCGGATTAGGCAGAAGACGTGTTTCAGGCGTCTGATGGTCTGATAGCTTTGAATAAACTGGGTTCGCTTCTTTGTCTTTCTTCTCTCAATAACATATTGCAAGAATGGGTGCTTCAAATGGTCAGAAAGTTCTTCCACAGCATGGAGTCTCTGCAATATTTCTTGTTAACTCAATGGCACGTGATTTCAAGCAGTTAATCTGATTGAGGACATTTGAAGCAACCATTTTAAAAGCAAACTGAACAGCTTTCGGTATAATTTTTTCCTTTGCCACATTCGAACTGCACTTCGTTATATGCGCAGGCGGAGATCAGGATAAGGTCGACGGGTAACCACAATCTTTCTTCCTCAGGGATTCACTCAGTCGGACAGCACACATACGGCTATCTGTTGAGATCCTGGCAAGTAAGAATTTTTCCTCTCTAGCACTTTATGCTATTCCTACACCCGCAAATGCACACGAACTAGCTGAAGAATCTCCTGACACACATGTAAAGTGAATTTCTCAGATTCATCATATTGGCCAGGTTGGGGTTAAGTAATTTTAATTTGCTTGAGTCCTCCCAGCTGGGAATCTGAAATTTTTTGTAACGTGGCTTATTCGATCTATAGCAATATGTCTGTTAATTGGTGATCCGTTTGAGTACTAGGTTTCCAGGAATTCACTGGCAATTTTTATGTCTCCACTGTTTAAAATTTCGACATATCAATGAAACTAATGTCCATAGTTGTCTACATGCATCGATATGGAAGAATACATGTCTTTTCACTGCTACTTTATATTCTTTGATAACGACACTTTTTTTGATTACAGCTTGATTCCACACCGTACTTTTCTTGTTACAGGTGTAGAATTTCCAGCATGTGATATCGGTAGCCCGAATTTTGCAGGCCGACCATAGATATCAGGTGTGCGTCGGCAGGGGATCGAACACCGGACCATGTGCATGGTCGGCGATAGCCCTAACCACTGTGCCACCGACGCTTTTAGGTCATTTATGCGTTTCTCTGAAACATAGCATGCTCCCATAGCTCGATGTGTCAGAGTTCTAACTGGTGTAGCCTGTTGTCCGATTTGGTAGAGTCCTTACGTCGAATACTTTGGGAGACTATCAGTGGTGCTTTTCCTGCTCTGGTCTCAGAGTTAATAAAAGACAGAGAATCTACCCGTCATAAGAATGCTAGAAGATGATATCGTTGGTGTTGAAGGTGGGTGATGAGGAAGAAAGCTCTGTCAGCTTATGAAAGTATGTTGGCGGTTATTACTTCCCGGTCGACCACACCTTAAAGGTAGATTCCTCCTGAAATTGAAGGAACATTCCATTATCCAATATCGTTTCTACGAGCTAGTATAAACCAATTTGATTTTTTTGTGCTCACCTCTTGATCGTAAGGTATAGGTTCCTGATCTTCGGTAAACTTCTGCGCAGTTCTTCCCGCCACACGAATGTCGTAGCTTTGGTTAACTCCCAAAGGAGTAGTTCTGAGGTTAATTATATGTTGTTTGTAGTATGCGGTGTGCTAAGACTGTTACTACTTTGAATGGAGTTGATTCTTTCACCAGTTAGTCCTCCGGTATCATCGTCAAAAGAAAAGTGATAATAATAATAGGTATAATTAGTGTAGGTTATTCAGAATAAAAGACAGGAAAAGAAATAAAGAAAACGTAAAAACAGACAGCTAATTAAAATTGAAGTTGATATATATATGATATCAATAGTAATAATAATAAGTCTAGTAGTTAGAGCTGTCAGGAGAATTAGACGGGAGAGATTGTAAAGAAGTAGAACGACGAATTTAGTTGTCTAACCCTGAATGGTGTATAGGATTTTAAGGGGATAGGCCGTTTGGACGCATTCCTTGTGTTGCTGCATGGTTGTCCAGCCTTCACTTATAGGTGCCATAGCTACATCTGCAGGTAAAGGAGTTCCAGGGACGGCAAACCCGCAGTGAAAAGAAGTGGGAGCGCACTCGGGTCCTCGCCCTCTGGTGAGCTACCGTTCAGGGATTTCCACGAGGGAGCCTATACATAATCAATGGCAGAACACCTTTGTTTAGGTGATTCTGGTCATTTGTTATTTTTAGACAGTAATCAAATCCCTCCTAAGCCTGACCACAGAGTCCAGTAGACAACTACTTGAGACTGGCCATACACAGCTTGCTTGAAGTGGCTTTTCGAATTGTGTCCGTGTTAAGATCTTTTTTTGCTGTGGCCGATATCTAGTGGTTGTTGCTAGTTAGTCATCGAAATATAAGTCATATACAATAATAGTCTTAATCATCAGTGCAACTTATAAGTCACATAACTTACTTTTATAGTCATGAACACCATCTCCTCGTTCACTTTTGTTCTACTCATATTCTTGAACTGTCTCACTTTTTTTTCCTTCACGTTCCGCAGTGGAACATAGGGCTTCAAGCTAGTGGCTGGAAGTTTCTGTAGCAGTGTTTATTTTACAGGATGGAGTTGTTAGCCTGCCCCATGCCCAACCTTTCCTCTTTACCAGCATTTTTTCTGGCTCAGCGTGGCAAAGGAGTGCGTCTGTGGCCGGGGATCGAACCCCAGACCATGTGCTTGGTCGGCGAGCGTCCTAACCGCTATTCCACCAACGCACTACTGTCTCACTTGAGAAAAAAAATAAACTTGTGTCACTGACAATTAAATATTCATTTATCCTCAGCTAGCTGTTAGCCTAATGAAATTGGTATAGAATAACAATTACCTGGTACTTTCTACATTTTGCCAGCATCCTTCTAGGTGAAGACGTAGACAGAATAAAGCAGTCTTCTGAATACCTTGATGAGCATCAATCTTCGGATGTTTGGTATGCGATTCGCTCCTGCTGTCAAATTTAAGATGATGGTGCAACTGGACTGCACTACATGGATTCACTCCTAGCTTAAAGATAGGCTGGAGTGAAGTGGTGGCTCAGCCTGTTGACCACTTCACTTATTCTGTGGGAAGATGCATGAACCAGCCCAGCGGGTTATTCGCTGATGAAATCACAGCACGGATGTAGAAGGCTCGTTTGGCATATACCGACTTATGCTATCTCTAGCTGTCGACCAAAGGGTGTGTGTTTACTGCTTAGCAGTAATTCTCTCCATCCTCCATTGACTGTTAGTGAGACATGGCCACAGAAAATGGAAGATTTGAAAAGGCCTGGCAAGATGTCTTGGATCATAGGTGTCCGCATTCTATCTCCCGTGTCAGTTGGTCGGTGTAATAGGGTGGGCAATATTGGGGTTAGGCTTCAGTCGAGTGCTAGGCCAGGCGGAAGAATCATTTGACGAGGTTGTGAAGCATCTGCATCGATTGAGATGATCAGGACATGTGTTACGTATGCCTGACCACCGCCTTCCTCGACAGGCAATGTTAGCTGACAGGGGATGGATCAAGTGGTGGTCAAATCATTACATGGCTTCATCAGTCAATGAAATCCGTAACATTTCACGTAGGAAGATGTAGACTGCCTGACTGGTTGGGGTTCTCGGGTCGATAAACACCAATGGCTGGAGGCGATCGGTGATATGGCTCAAAATCGTTCTCAATGGCTGGCTCAGATGCATCCACTCCTTGTGATTTATAATATCCAATAAAATTCTATTGTTCTTCCATATTACTATTCTTTTTGCCTACTATTTGTGTTTATTATCTCTGTTTTGAATCCTTCTCTACTCCCTTCTCTTGCTATGTGTGCTCAACATGGAGGCGTAGTGTGACAAATCGAACTGCTTCACATATCTGTGCAAAGTTTAGTGTGGAAACCAGTAAGTTAGTCAGTCACCTCCTTAAGCCTGATATTTTCTTACAATACCATGCCTGCTACAACTGTTTATTGAGAGTAATTTCATACACTTTAAATGGAAGAGCATATGCTAAGGTAGGTTAGCTCTAGCCTTATTTATATACTGCAAATGTTTATCCTATCACCTCTAAATTTGATTTTGGCCTTTTTTTTCCTTCTTTCAGGGGTCTATATTCTTCACGGTGAATATGCAACCGTTTTTCAATTCTACTAAGTAACTGCATTTACTTTAATTCGGCGGTGTATGTTCGACTGACCCTTGGCTGGACATAAAATCATTTCACACATGCATTAAAAATGAATGTGAAAAGTAATTTTTGTCATTTTATTAAATCGTTTATACATGCTTATTTTTCTAGAATTAATCGAACAACGCGCTAAAACAAAAATTACCAAAGAAAGAGCTGAATTAACCTTAATGATAGCAGCAATTTATTCTGAGCAAGGTAGAAATATCTTATCATTAGATTCTATATAGCATTGTCGATAAGGTTGTCATGATTCTGCACTAGTGGAATACAAAAGGTATCTAGAGATATGGGAGACGAAAGAAGACAATCTCCAATGTGCAATAGCTAACAGATATCTAGCCGAATGTTATATTGAATTGTGCGATTTCACGCAAGCAATTATTCATACAAATCGATATCTTCAATTATCTCAAATTTGCGATAATAAAATGGAACAACAAAGAGCCTATGTCACACTGGGCCGATGTTTTTTGAATCGTGTAGACACTTTAAAAGATGGTCCTTTAGTTGTTAAAAGTTTAAAATCAGCTAGTCAAGCACTAGTGAATAGTATAAAACTTATTAAAGATTTATCGGGTAATTTGGACGCGAGGAGTTCTGCTGAAATGCGTGCTGTATCACTGCTCAACCTTGGTAAGAGTATATTTATCTCATTGTTGAAATTTCGCTATAGGTCATGTTGAACGTGCACAACACAATCATAATGCAGCTTTAGAAAGTTTTACCCAGTGCATTACACTAGCACGAAAGCATAGCTTACAGAAAATTCTATTTCGTGCTTCATATCAAGCTGGTGAAATGTTAATGAATCAAATCTCCGCGCATGCCTTTAAACCATACTCTCGGTCAGTATTCCTTCAATTGATTAAACAGAGTGGAACAGAAAAAGCCTTGGAGATTGTTCGGTAAGTTGGAATACTGATCATTTTTTTTATTGGAGACAATTTAGATCTGCACTCTCCTCACCTTTAGCAAAACCGTATGTGGATAATGAGGCTAAACTTTTGTGTGCAAATCTAAAAGAGTTATTAGCTCAGGTTTGTTCTCTTTTGTTTGTTAACCGCCTACAAATTCATTTATTTGAAATGCTTAGATATATCTTTGTGACGGGAATAGTCGTAAAGCGATCAAGATATTTCGTTTGCTAAAGATAGAATCCCCGACTGCCTCGAAACAGTATGCTAAAATGATGAAGAAAAGTAAGTGTGACTGAAATATATGTCTGTCTATCTGTCTGTCTATTTGTCTGTTTTCGACATAGAACTTTGCACCAACGTGCACCAGTTCAAGTCGCCACACTCCCTCCTTATAGCACACAAAACAAAAGAAGAAAGTAGATGGAATGCATAATAGACAGTAAACAGAGGTGTGAGACAAAGGAATAGTAATAACGAAGAACAATATACTTTCATTGGAAATGATAAGTCAGAAGGAGTGGATGCATGTGCGCCAGCCATTGAGAACGATTTTCAGCCATACCACCGATTATTTTCACCTCTGGGTTTTTTACCGTCCTGAGGATCCCAACCAGCCAGTCAGAAAGTCTACGCCTCCCAACGTGACTGGTTTAAACTAAATGTTGTGGATTTCACTGACTGGTGCCATGTCTTGGTTTGATCGCCGCTAGCTGTTTTCCAGCCTGACCCTATGTCAGCTTACATTGCCCATTGTCGAGGAAGGCGATGACTGGGCATACTTAACACATGTCCTAACCACCTCAGTCGATGTAATTTCATAGCCTTGTTGATTGATTTTCCCTCCCACCTACCTAGCACTCGATCGATGCCTAACCTCAATATTACTCACCTTATTATATCACTTCTAACGGGAGATAGAGTCCAAGCACCTATGATCAAAGACAGCTAATCTTTTCATGTCTCTCACTCTCAATGGCCAGGTCTCCCAACCAGCCATAAAGGAGGACGGAGCGGACTCCTGAGCAGCAAACACGTCCTTTGATCGATAGCCAGCCAGATATCATGTCTACTAAGCCAGAGACGGTGTAAACTGGCATGTGCGAAACTAGCCCTCTGTATCCGTGCTGAGATTTCGTCAGAGATCAACCCGTTGGGGCTGGCTGATGCAACTTCCAAAATAAGTGAAGTGGTCAGCACGCTCTGCCACTACACTCCCTATTTCTAAACTAGGAGTCAGCGTAGTCCAATCCTGTACCATCATCTTGCATTTGGCGGGAGCGAATCGTATGCCAACATTCGTAGACTGCAGCTCAGTGTGTTCAGAAGACTCTGCATTTTGTCAGCGTCCTCGCCTAGGAGGACTATATCGTCTGCACATTCTAAGTCAACAAAATTATTCCTTGGTAGCAAGTCAATCCCTGTGTCTCTGAAATGAGTTAGGGTTAAGTCCATCAGTAGATCTATGGTGAAGTTGAATAGGAATTGGAATAGTGGGCATCACTCGCTGACAAACGCCACTGGTCGTCACCAGTTCAGATGACAGCTCGCCGTAAGCCCTCACCTGGCTGTATGAGTACGAGCAGAGTCCCTTAATCAGTGCAATGTATTTCCTCGGAATTCCCTTTACAGCCAAGCATCTCCAGACAACTTCTCGATCGACAGAGTCGAATGCTGCCTTTAGGTCAAGAAATATAATGACTGTTGGACGCCGGTAGGAATGCCTATGTTCTAGAATCTGTCGGAGGGTGAAGATATGATCAATACACCCTCTTCCTGGTCTAAAGCCTGCCTGACTCTCTCGTGTTTGTCCCTCCTGAGCACCACTTAGTCTACGCATGATTATTGAGCCTAAGACTTTAGATACTACATTAGTCAAGCTAATCCCTCTGTGATTATTACAGGAAGACTTGTCTCCTTTCTTGTATATCGGGATAATCAGTGACTTACACCAACCCGACGGGACTTCCTCTGATTCCCAGACGCTGTGTAGAACCTCATTTAATGCAGACAGTAAACTGTTTTCACTGTACTTAAATACCTCTGGAGTCATTCCATCAGGTCTGGCTGCTTTGCTTTGTTTCAGATTGGTGACAGCTTTAGTAACCTCAGTTGGGGACGGAGGACCTGTGTCTATATCCCATTCAGGGAGGTGTTGGATGTTCGACAGGTTGAGCATGGCTGTAGGCCAATTAAACTGCTCCTCATAATGCTCTTTACAGCGCTTCAGTCGTCTATCCTGACAGGTAGTTATGGTACCATTTTTCTCCGAGATCGTTTCACTCATCATTTGCCTATTACCACCTGTTTCCCTGATAAGACTAAATAGTTGTCTGGTGTTACCAATCGCCAATGCCTTTTTCATCTCTTTTGCTTTTGTCACCTACCACTGTTCACGGTCGTTGCGAAGTCTATAATATTTTATTTTTTGAAGGTTTTCGACTTATGAATCTATTCAACGAAATGCCAAACGAGGTGTCTACTACGAATGACTTTATTGTATCTTCTCGTACTCATGAGAAATTAGGCGATCTTTATGCTGGAATCGATCTACAAGGCTGTGCACTAAGGCATTATCAATTCATGGTGAGCTAACTCGATATTTCTTTTGTTTTTTGTATGTGTTTTAGACAATTTATGCAGTTGTGTGTAACGACTCGAGGTTGCATTGTGTAACGTTGAAAGACAAGAGACTTGATAATGCGAATATGTTTATTTGGAACTGGTGGTTATTGCCTAATATTAGCGAAATTATGTGGTACACCTTATCGCCAAATCGTCATTGGCATAGATCTTTGCTGCTGTGCTACTTCTGCGCTCCCCCCCACCCCCACTTCGTATTGTGTTTCTTTGCCTTCTTTTCATGTCTGCCTTGTTTTGTCGCAACACTGGTTCATCATCTGCTATCTTTGGTGTCAAATCTCTCTCTTTCTCGGCTATTTGATGTTTTGTGCCGATTAATTTTGTCGGAAGCATATGACACAGCATCATCCATCTATTTTTTATTATTTTTTATTACAACTTGATTCCACACTGTATTTCTGGTACAAGTATGGAATTTTCAGCATGGATATCGGCAGCCCAAACATTGCAGGCCAACCATAGATATCAGGTGTGCGTCGGTGCGGACTTGAACCCCGGACCATGTGCATGGTTGGCGAGAGTCCTAACCACTGTGCCACCGACGCATCTAGATGTTCTCTTAGACTTCTTGGTAGTAGTCAGCGAACCTTCACGAATCCTGTGAAGGATAGAACACAGGACTGTCAAGTTAAGTGGTGGGCATGTTAACACTCAATCATTTTGGTTGGAATTCAGTACTTCATAATTTCTGTGGTAGTATACAGTGTCATCAGTGGGTTGTATCTTCACAGCCAACTTATTAGACCTCGTCGGTTATCATTTTTGATTTGAACTTAATGATGTTCAGTTTTTTGGGGATTGGATTCAATTGAGGTTAGATTTCAGCTTGAAAAGATGTCACTAAATGAATCATATAAAGTTCGATTGCTTATTACTCACAAAAAATATTGTAGCGTATTGATTGTTTACAAGAGTGTATTATTTGTTCGAGAGAAATTTTCAACCTGAATTCACGGTGGTCAAAAAGTCATAAAAATCCAAGGAAGAACCGAAATCTCATCGAAACTCTATTAACTGGGATACTTCGATGTTTTAAGTGGACTTCACCGAAGAATTGGAGACTGTTCTATCAGTAATTTTGTAGATAGTGTCTAACAGTGGAATACAGGCCAACGCGCATTTCGACCTATTTGAGATTCACCAACTAGTAGATGTACCTGTAGTTTCAGCGTGTGGTTAATGTCCTCACTGAGACTCGAATTCAGTTCCCATGCCCATTATACAAGGGGGTAGGTCGCATGAACGATGTGGTTTAGTGGGGAATAGCACTTTAGCGTTTGAAACAGTGGGTACTGGGGTCGAATCTCACTGGGAACGCAGTTATATCTAGATGACGAGTCTCAAATAGATCGAAACGCGCGCATCCTGAATTCCACTACTGCTAGTCACGATCCATCATACATTATCAAAGCCTCCGTACTAGAAGCTGACATTTCACAATAGAGGTTGGACGTTTCGGTTCGATCAACTAACGGGAGCATCAAAATTGAATTAGAAACACAACCTCCCCTCCTCCCTTTTTGGTATATTTACATTTATCCAGTGGAGTTACGCTCTCTTGATGGTTCGACTATTTTATCTTCAACACTGTAACAGGATTTTAGGATAAGATTTTACTCCTGAAACACCAGAATGCCGTTACTGATTAATTGTCACTCTTTTAATTTTCTTTACCGCCGTTGTTGCATACTTTCCCGAATAAGTAAGATTACTCACTATTTTTCACCCATCACTATCTCGTATACACTTTCACACTTTCATACATATTTTGTTACTAATTTACACTAACCTCTAACTCTTGTCAGCCCTGACGTGAAGCTAAGATAAGAGATCTCCTGGCTGACGTATGTTTTTAAATCACACCACGTGGGAATTTCTCATATTTAGAGGAAAGATATTCTGTCACTGTCGCAGCATATGATCTAAATTGCATTCTTTACTGCTCTAGTGGTGGTATGACTGACTTCTTTGTAAGAATTAGAGACTTGGTTATAACTTGATAAACAGTTACAGTGATGGCTAAACTGTTGAGAGTTACACTGCGTAACCTTAAAGTTCCCTCCTGTTGACCATTGTTGGGGTCATGGGAATGATTTGCTGAAAAGTTGCAAACTTGGCCGAAACAGCTGTGCAGTACTCCCTGGACAAAATCTACCAAAACTCTACAACCCAATAGTTGGACAACTAAAACCATTCTTCATGAGCTTGACATCGTTTAGGAAACCATCAGGGAATTCTGTGCAGATGTTTCGTCCTAGTGTGGGACCCTTCAGTTGCACACACCCACCATAGGGAGTTCAAACTTAGTACATTCTGATTACAAGGCTAGCGAACTCGTAGATCATTAAGCCACTGAGACCCGATCCAAAGGCCAGCCCATGACGTCCAACCACTACCTATTCATGATATAGCGCTACCAATAGCCAGTGTCATGGCTGCTGAGTCATGTCAGCCGATGATGAAATCATGTAACCAATCAAATCTGAATCCTGCAAACCAACACTTGAAACATTCTTCTTTTCTATAATCTGTTACTAGATCGAATAAAAGTTATAGTAGTTAATTGTTTCAATTTAAGCGTCCGTCTGCAATAATAATATAAATGTGAATGACTCAAAACGATACAATTCACCAGCAGTATGGAGGATCCATGTACTACTTGGCTGCTGAAACCTCTGGAAGAAAAGTAGGTTTCGGACCCTCGGGGCGGGGGGGGTGGAAGAGTTGTTTGAGGTGCTCTTCATGAAGCGCCCAGTCTCTGGTCCGTAAAGTAGCACTGACTTCACATTGGAGTTGAAAATCCGTGTCTTATTTTTCATGCTGAGTGCTGTTGACCTTGCCCTGTTTCCACACCTTCTCCAGTAGTTGTGTCATCAAGTTCGCTTTTGTCTCTGGGTCTATTTTCAATGCCTCTACGGGTATTCCTTCTGTCCTGCTGCTTTTCCAGGTTTTAGCATCTTGATTGACTTCAGGATTTCTGTTTTCATCGTACGGTTGATGTCTGCCGGTAGTTCTGCTTCCGCTGTGGGTATGATTGGGCGCGTTGTAGGTGGCGATCGATTTGGAAGTCTTTTGAAGTGTTCAGCCCAGTGTTTATTTTGCTCCACCTCCTTGGTGATTGACTTAATTTTTGTTGAATGTTTCCTCGATAGGTATCTAGTTGTTTGGTAGAGTGTTGCAGAGTTTCCTTTGCCTATACTGCAGCTTGTTCTGCTTCACTTGCCATAGTTTCATAATATTTTCTTTTTGTCTTCCCTGACACTCTTCTTCACTTTTTTGTTCAGTGTATCGTAGCTTGCATTCAACTCTTGTTTTTGTTGCTCTTCTATGCTCTGGATAATCTTTTGTTTCGTCATCCTTCCCTCTTCTATTAGTCTCCATGTGTGTGTGTGTGTGTAGTGAGCCACTGTTTTTCCTGTCTGTCTTCTTTCTGCCTAGAGCTTCCTTGCAAGTTTGACTCTCGACACCACTTTCAGACTGTTCCAGTGTTTTTCAACACTGGTCTCTTCGCTAGTGTTGATTTGTGTCTCCGCCTTTTTCATTATGTTTCCAATGAAGATGTCCTTTAATGGCCTGATACTTCAGTTTTTGAGTATTGAAATTGGCTTGTGGTCTGTCGACAGCTCCTGTTTCCTTGAAAGCTTTTAATTTTGATTTGGATTGTCCCTTGTACGAGATTACTGACTTGTATTTTCTTTAAGTGTTTACTAAGCAGTGGCTCATATATAAAATAACATATATACATATTAATTAAAATTAAAATTGGGAATTAGAATGCCATAATAAACAGGGGGATGGATAAAACAAACAAAGTAGCATTATAATAACTAAGAAGACTGACATTGTGCAATTAGGGGTTAGAAATGTAGAAATAACAAAATAGACAGGATGTTTGGATAAAAACTAATGTGATGAATAATTGTTTATGCAATCAGGGATTAAATATGTAGAAATAGTAAAATGACAAAATAAACACTAAGTTCGGGTATGAAAATATGGTAGTGTAAACAGGGATTAAGAAAAACTTGAAATAACATGAATAAACAGGAAGTTTAGATAAGAAAGGCGATGGGATGGTGATTACTAAAAATTACCTGTTTATGATGGCCATGGCAAGGACAGGGGTTGGACGTATTTCTTTTGTATACAAAGCGTGGGTTTGAGCTTTTGTATAGCTAGCGCCTCGGCTATGCCCAGATGTCTTGATTTTACTCCCTTTGATGGGTTTGATCGAATCTTGTAAATGATTTTGAAGGATTTTTCGAGTGGCGCTGAATGTCCTGAATTCACCAGGTGTTCTGTCACCGAACTATTTACCCGTTTTCGTTCTCCTTTTACTAGCCAGGCTGGATAGTGTTCACGAGCGCGTTTTTCAAGTCGGCGCATGGTACGGCCAACGTACTCAGCTCCACAAGAGCAAGTAAACTGGTATATGCACGTTGAGGTGGCCCAATGCGACAGCTTGTCTTTCGCGTTCTGGCTGAACAGTTTCTTGCAGGAAAACGTCAGTCGTAGGCTAGCGGCGAAGTATGTTTTCCTCAGCGATTTTGAGAGGCGTCTGCGAAGGATTTCTGCTTCAATATCACCTTTGAATTCTAGATTAAGCAGAAGCATTTTCTTTGGGACGGATTGGACTTGTTCAGAAGTCTTCTTAGGTTTGAGATTCTTTTCTATGAACCTGGGCGGGAAACCGTTTTCCATCAGGGTTTTTCGAAGATTACGCAGTTCTTCTTCAACCACTTCCTCGCTGCATATCTTCCGAATCCTCGAGGAAAGAGCGTATATCAGGTTCCTCTTTCTGCTCAGGGGCACGAAGCTTTGAAAGTTGATGAATTGTCCATTCCATGTAGGCTTTTTGTATATGGACCTTTTCAGGGAGTTGTCGGCGTTTCTTGTCAGATGGACGTCGAGGAAGTGGAACATTCCGTCGGATTCAGTCTCAAGTGTGAAGTCGATGTTTGGGTGGGCATTATTGAAAATTTGAAGTAGGTTTTTTAAATCACAGTTCTCATCACAAATAATGAAAGTATCATCGATGTATCTCTTGTAGAGATGGAGGTCGTTGATAGTTGTTGATAAGGCGTTGTTCTCTAAGCTAGCCATAAAGCAGTCGGCTAGAAGGGGTCCTAAGGGAGAACCCATTGCTACTCCATCTACTTGCCTGTATATTTCTTTGTTGAAACTAAAGTATACGTTGAAGGTGCATCGAAGTAACAGTTCTTTCAGGTAATGAATTGGTATATCGACATTGATGTTATTGGATTCAATGTAGTCACAAAGGAAACATACGGTTTCTGTCAGTGGAACGTTGGTGAAGAGAGACACGACATCCAGGGAGACCATTTTCTTTTCTGCCACATTGACATTCTTAATTGAATCAACAAAGTCGAATGTGTCGCGGAGGTTATGTCTTGACAGCTTCTCTTTCACCGGCCCGAGAATCTCCACCAGCCATTTCGCGATTGTATGATATGGGGAATCTATCATATCTAGTATTGGGCGGAGTGGGACGTCTTGTTTGTGCACCTTGGGTAAGCCGTACATACGTGGCGTTGTAGAACCAGATGGGCGCAGTTGTTCGTATAGCTTTGAACTGATAATGGATTCGTCCTTCATTTTCTTCAATATCTTTGTTAGCTGGAGCTCCGTCTGTTCAGTGGGATCTTTCTGTGGAGACTGTTTCTGAAACTTTTTATCATCGGATAGTATCATCGAGAGTTTGCTTAGGTAGTCTGATTTGTTCATCAGGACGATTCCGGAGCCTTTATCTGGTCGCGTGATGATCAAGTTTTCATTATCTTTCAGTTCTTTCAGCTCCTTTCGATGTTCTTTGGAAAGGACGTTACGGAGGCTGGGTTTTTTGTTGATATAATCGAGACAGCAATTTAAAACGGTTGATTTGAAAAGTTCTGCATTCTCATATGAGATTGGGACGAGATCTTTCGTCTGGTCGATTAAATTCTCAAATTGCACTTTCGTGTTGAGTTCATTCACTTTTGACGTTGCATCACAAAACTTAGGCCCAAGTGCTAAGATTTGCATTTGAATTGGAGATAGTTGAACATCAGAATAATTGTACACGTATTTTTCTGGACAAGTAGGAAAGACGGTTTCTTTTGTAACGGACTTTAGGCTTTGGTTTAGTTTCATTATAACATCATCTGTTCTTTTCTTTGTAACCGTATTGGAGTAGTTTTCGAATGCTGTTCTCTCGTCTTCAGATAACTCATGGAGAACGTGGGAGCTTTTTGAGATATTCTGCTCTAGCTCAGGTAGTCTTGATCGCACTGCATCGATGTGATTCAGAGTGTGTCGTTTCAGCGTACGTGAGTTAGGGGATATGTGATTTCGTCTGAGATGCTTCCAAAATACTTTGGGATATTCATGTTTCTCGAGACAATTCTTCAAGAAGAAAATCTTTGCGTTCGCCTCAGCAAGCTTGACGGACAAACGTAGAAACTTGTTCAGTTCCCTTACCGTCGAACGGTCCTTGCTCCTCTTTAAATCACGGAATATACACATTGGGTCATAGGAGTAAATAAGAAGACAGTTGCAGCGAAGAAAATTTTCTTTTCGACGAAGTCCAAAAAGAAATACGTCCAATCCCTGTCCTTGCCATGGCCATCATAAACAGGTAATTTTTAGTAATCACCATCCCATCGCCTTTCTTATCTAAACTTCCTGTTTATTCATGTTATTTCAAGTTTTTCTTGATCCCTGTTTACACTACCATATTTTCATACCCGAACTTAGTGTTTATTTTGTCATTTTACTATTTCTACATATTTAATCCCTGATTGCATAAACAATTATTCATCATATTAGTTTTTATCCAAACATCCTGTCTATTTTGTTATTTCTACATTTCTAACCCCTAATTGCACAATGTCAGTCTTCTTAGTTATTATAATGCTACTTTGTTTGTTTTATCCATCCCCCTGTTTATTATGGCATTCTAATTCCCAATTTTAATTTTTATTAATTTGACCCTTGACCGGATATTATTCTGGAACTTTGCCATCCATTTGATATATACATATGTTTCTTAATACTTTTTTTTTTCTAGCTTGGATTTTCAGAACTGGCTTATAAACAGCATTCTACACCAGGTGTTGTTGTTCCTGACGATATTGTTAAATTAGTCGATGCTGCTTTAATATCTATCGCTGAAACATATCGTGCACTTACTTACTATGACCAATGTGTAGAAATGTATAGGCGTGAAATTCTATGGGCTACATCAACTGGTCTATCTACAAGTGATATGGTTACAAGTTGGTTGAGTTTAGCACAGGCTCAACGTTTAATCCCAAACACCAATACTTCTACTATTCAGCCAACAGACACTTCTTCTTCTTCTTTGGAAACTAATCAGAAGATTACTTTGAATGGTTCAGAGACTGTATTGGATTCATTATTGTCTGCGCACAAAACTTCTAAACTTGTTGGTTCTACATCTTTAATTGTAAGTTGTCGATTTTTACTTATCTGTTCTTTATCCTCGATTTTTGAATGCAAAGAGGCTGGCTCTTTAGGCTATTTTCGATTTTTCGCCTAATGTTATTGATTTTCTTCTCTCATTAACTCAAGAAACTATTTTGAACGACTAATACAAATTTATACTTCAGATCTTCGCCATGTTTCGAATGATTCTACTGTTAGATGAATGATTCAAGTATATAACAGAAAGTACACGGCGGTGACAATACAAAAGTTTGCTTGCATTTGTTAGCCCATGTTAGCCAACAGGTTGATCCCTGATAGAATCTCTGCACGGATACAGAGGGCTAGTTTCACATATGCCAGTTTATGCTATCTCTGGCTTAGTAGACGTGATATCTGGCTGGCTATCGATCAAAGGACGTGTTTACTGCTCAGGAGTCCACTCTGTCCTCCTTTATGGCTGGCTGTGAGACCTGGTCATTGAGAGTGAAAGACATGAAAAGGCTAGCTAGCTGTCTTTGATCATAGGTGCCTGCATTCTATCTCCCGTACGAAGGGGTAGGTATAACAGGGTGAGCGATATTGAGGTTAGGCATCGGTGAAGTGCTAGGTAAGGGGAGGGAAAATCAATATACGAAACTGGGAAGCTACATCGGCTGAGATGGTTAGGACATATGTTACGCATGCATGTATAGCTATCGCCTTCCTCGACGGGCAATGTTAGCTGACATAGGATGAATCAGGCTGGTAAAGAGCTAGTGGTGTGGTCAAACCAAAAACATGACACCAGTAAATGAAATCCATAACAGTTAGTTTAAGCCAGACACGCAGGAAGGTTTCGACTGCCTGACTTCCTGGTTGGGGTCCTCGGGACGGTAAAAACCGAGAGCTGGCAACGATATGGCTCAAAATTGTTTTCAATGGCTTGCGCAGATACATCCACTCCTTGTGACTTGTCATTTCCAATGAAACTATATTGTTCTTCGTTATTACTATTATTTTTGTCTCATATCGCTGTCTATTGTCTCTGTTATGCATTTCTTCTACTTTCTTCTCTTGTTTTGTGTGCTCAATATGGAGGGAGTGTGTTTGACTTGAACTGGTGCACATCGGTGTAAAGTTCTATGTCGAATATAGACAGATAGACAGACAGACAGACAGGGATAAGTCGACTAGGTATTGAACTACGGATCACGTTCATGGTTGGCGAGAAGTCGTCTGTCGCCTAACCGCAGACGCACAATTTTGGTGTAATAAACTAGAATTCTTTTTTTTTAAATTTTATTGGTGCTACAGTTCATTTTCTTTTAGCTTTAGGGGAAAGTTGTTATCTTTTTCTTAGTCAATTTAATATCGCCTCAATTTGTCTGTGTTTGTATTGACGTGTTTAAATTCTTATTGAAATTGATTTTCTTAGGGTGATTGTTTAAGAGAATTGTTGGATTACTATGAACAGTACAACTATACAGAGAAAGCTTATAAAATACGTGAGGAATTGAAAAAAATTGACCAAGCAACCTGTTCACAAGCAGAAAATGAAAAAGATCAAGGGGATGCTGATGAAGAGGAGGAGGAAGAAGAAGAAGCTGCAGCAGAGAGTGATAAAAACACTTCAACTGATAATGATGATGATGACGATGCTGTAACTCAATTCTTGGCATCCCTTTCATCAGATTCAGGTTAGAATTGTTTTTATTGTATTCCCTTAATTTTAATTGTCATCTGTTTATTTTTCTGTAAAAAATATTCCACTAGTGTGTACAATTGAAGTTCGTTCAAGGATTGATATCAATTAGAGAACCTCTGTCTGTCTGGATTCAACATAGAACTTGGCACCGAAGTGCACCAGTTCCAGTTGCCACGTTCCAATTAGCACACAGAGGTAGACAAGAAGATGAGTGAAGAGAATCAATAGAGTTTGACAAGTATAAGAGTGAAACAGAATGGGTAATGGTAGAAAGGAATATGAAAGATTACAGAGACTGAATACGTCAGCGCTGGCCATTGACAACGATTTTGAGCCATGTCACCTATTGTCTCCAGCCATTGATTCCTAGAGTCCCGAGGGCCCCAACCCGGGAGTCTGCATCTCCCTACCTGACTCAGTTTAACTGTCAAGGATTTCATGGATTGATGAGGCCATGTTTTTGCTTGGCCACCACTTACTCTTTTCCAACCTGCACCTATATCAGCTAGTAATGCCCGTCGGGGGAGGCGGTGGTTAGGCATGCGCAGCACGTGACCTAGCCATCTCAATCTATGTAACTTTATAGCCTCGTCGATTGATTTTCCCTCTTTGCACAACACTCTACGCCTAACGTCAACATTACTTACCTTGTTAAACCACCTAACGTGAGACAGAGATCGCAGACATCTATGATCGAAAGCAGTCAACCTTTTCATGTCCTCAACTCGTATTGACCATGTTTCAGAGCCATAGACAAGGATGGAGCGAACTGCTGAGCAGTACACACGTCTGTTGGTTGATAACCGGATGTCACGCCTACGCCAGAGATGGTGTAAGTCAGCGAAAGCAGCTCGAGCTTTTCGGATCCGTGCTGAGATTTCATCGCCAATCAGTCCGTTGGTGCTAATACAACTTCCCAAATAGGTGAAGTGGTCAACATGTTCTATCACTTCACTCCCTATCACTAAGCTAGGAGTTGACGTGGTCCAGTCCTATAGCAGCATCTTACATTTTGTTGGGGCGAATCGCATGCCAAACATACGAAGATTGTTGCTCAAGGTGTTCAGAAGGCTGCATTTTGTCAGTATCCTCCCCTAACAGGACTATGTCATCTGCATATTCTAAGTCCATTAGGTTATTCCCTGGTAACAAGTCGATTCCTAAGTCATTACGTTCAGTTAAGGATACTTCCATCAGCATATCTATGTAGAGAACCGATGAAAACCAGCCACAGGGAGTACTGGACAACTAGCTGTTTCGTCAGTCTAGTTTGTGAGCTCATCAGTAGTATGCATCCGCCAATGGGGTTGGAAGCCAGGACCTTGAAGTTACAAGCCGAGCGCATAGACTATTTATGTGCAACTTTAGTGAAGCTTATATTTCCTCTGAGACTCAAGGTTGTATCACACTCACTATTCGGTGACATGAGCCAGTTGTAAAATATTTATCACGAAACAATACATTTTGAAATCTTAAAGCATTACCGAAATTTTCAAGTATTGGTTTTGTAGGGATTTTGTTTGATTGTATAGAGGATTTCATCATGAGCTGACATCAGTTAGAGAACACCACTGGAAAACCTGGGAGCACTTACTGGATAGCTGTTTCGTCAGCCTAGTTTGGGATTCTTCAGCAGTACGCACCCACCTGGGTTCGAATCCAGGACCTCCTGGTTACAAGGCAAGCTCGTAGACCATTGAGCCACTGGAACCCGATTCAATGGTTCTTGAATTCCAACTTCTGCCAATTCACGACATGGCACGACGATTTCGCAATACCTTCTTCGATGAGTTACTGTCCCATCTTCGACCTGCTGTACCCCACTGGTCATGGCTTCCCACTAGAACCCCAGGTTAACTGCCTGAACAGGGCCGGTCGCTAGTGAGCATCAAGCAATTAACCTGGGGTTCTAGTGGGAAGCCGTGACCAGTGGGATACAGCAAGTCGAAGATGAGGCAGTAACTACTCATCGAAGAAGACATTGCGAAATGGTCGCATTACCGAAATATTTTTCTAAGGATTAAAATAGTTATCATCATCATTAGGGAAGGTAGATTAAACAGAACTATCTACTAAATAACTCCCAAATATACATAAGCTATATTTGCTTGATATCCAGGGACGGTTATTCATACCACCCGATTTGGTGTTCGGTGTATAATCAAAGTGATAAGTTAATGCTAGACGGTTGAAGGTAACCCTGGACACCTAGGTGTCGCGTTTGCGCTGACACTGGTCAGCAAGGGATCGGCGTGCTCCCTCTGTTGTTGGAACCCGCATCACCCAATGCTGCAGTCACAGTCGTCATCACTACTGAAATATTTAAGCTCATGAATAATCTCCTCTATGGCTACAAGTAGGTACATGTTATGTACTCGTCGCTAAATTATTGTTGTGGACTGGTCGAGAAACTAATAGTCCTGACGCAAGAAGGCGGAAATCAGAAGACCACTAGGTTTGCGATGATACTTCTATTGTCCAAACACAAGGAGACGAAAATAAATGGTCTCACACCAAAGTGGTAAGTAAGTGAAGTAAAGTAGTTCACACAAATTGTGTGAGCGAAATATATATGACAAGGGTGTGAACAATCATTAGACAGTCTTAACATGAATGGCTAATTATAATGAAGTATCGATCCATACATACATAGCAAATATAGCAGACATGTCAACAACTACCATACATGGATATATGTCACTAAGCTACGGACTGTCAACAAACACACATATTATATATAATATAAGGAGAATATACGTTGCTAAAGGAGACAAGTTCATACAAGTGAAATGGTCACAGACTAAGCGAGCAAATAGAAAGAGAGACCAACATACACACACATACATAAATATATATATGTGGATACATATCAGTACATGGATTCATTACTAGGGAGCAGGCAATATCATACGTCAAGTCCTTTGACACTGACTGATTGGCTTCAACATAGAACTTTGCAATTGATGTGTGAAGCAGTTCGAGTTGTCACACTGCGCGTCTCCATGTTGAGCACACAAATAAACAGAAGGGAATAAAGAGAGTTTCATCAACACAGAGACAAATAGCTGAAGTGTGAGTGAGGGAAAGCGAATAGTAATCTACGGAAGAAGAACAATAGAGTTTTTTATTGGATATTATGATAAATCTAGTCCCTGGTGTTGAGATGCAGTAGTAGGTAAAACCTAATGGAGTTATTTTGTCTGATGTCAACTACACTAAAGCTATTTGTTGTTACTGTCTTTATACATTAGAAGAGCACTAATTATTGCCAATCGTCTATTTGTCATGATTAGCATATCTGAAGTCAGGTTTCTTTATCCAACTTTGTTAAAGCAGTTCAGTGTCTGTAAGTATGATATGTGCTGTGCGCTGTCCAAGTGCAAAGTACTGTTACAAGATTGGCAGGAGCCTGTTCCTGCAGTCACTCTTACGGGTGAACCGCTTGAAGTTGTTGATAAGTTTGTGTACCTGGGTAGTTGTGTGAGTGCTGGCGGAGGGGTGACGGATGAGATTTACGACCTTATCATGAAAGCTAGGGTGGCACACGTTAACATGAGCCACCTCTGGCGCCGTCGCAACGTTAGCCTTACTGTCAAAGGTCGGGTATACAATGCTTCGGTGCTCCCTGTTTTGCTCTACGCCTGTGAAACCTGGCCTCTCCGAACTGAGGATATGCGGCAACTCTGCGTGTTCGATCATTGCTGTCTCCGCAGGATTGCTTGCGTTCGATGGAATCATCGCGTGAGTAATTCTGAGGTTCGGCGGCGTGTATTTGTCGAACACAGTGGAGATCACCATTCATTGAGTGTTGTCATCTGGAAACACCGGCTCCTGTGCCTTGGACGTGTGCTGTAAATGTCATCCCAGAGGCTTCTGTACAGGTCTCTGTTCGCTAGCCAGCCCTGGGACGGGATGGAAAAGGCGAAGAGGTGGTCAGTCCATGACGTGGCGTCGTGGGATGAAGGATATTTGTGCTAGATTAGCATTGGTTGGTGCGTCACGACTCCCTGGTCGGAGTTCGCGAGATAGCTCGAATCGATGGCTCGAAACGTTATCGGATATGGCCAAGAATCGAAATCAATTGCGAACGTGCTGCAATTTCCTTCTTTCTTCCCTTCCCGATGATAGTTAACGAATAGTATTTGAACTTGTTAAGCATGACTGTTTTCCTTCCAGATGAAGTTCTTTATTCGTTCTCCACCCATATTTGTACTTTTAATCTATGTTGTTTTATTATTCTTGTGTGGTGCATCTTCTTGGTGTCATACTGTACCAAGATTTTTCTGCATTTAAATAAAGTAATAATGAATAATAAAGCAGTTGACCGCATCTCGACCAACCAATGTGAAGCACATCAGTTCAGCGTTTTTTTTTGTTTTTTGCTTGCCAATTCTTCTACAGTTCTTAATAGTCTTTTCCATGATATTGTATAAAATTTATTGTCACAACTAACAATTTTACTTCTTTGTTATTGAAAAATAAATATCCCTTTAGAACTTGAACAGTGTATTGGCAATACTGAGCTTATCGATGAATTTCAAGACGGCAGTCGAAGTAAAAAGTCAGGGAAGGCGATTTGTTTAAAAGTAAGATATTACCCATATTTATTTGGGGATTTTATATGGTATATCCTTTTTTTTAGATGAATTGGGACCATCTGCTTTATCCGATGGGTATTAGAGCGTTTTAATAAATAGGCCAAAGTATTTTCGATTGAGCACTAGTCACTAACTAGTGTGGAATGTGTCTAGACCTATCTACGGTGCTTGACTGAATTCTATCAGTGTCAAGCTTGCAATGTGGCCACCATCCATCCCACTAGGTGGCTCTCCATCATGGTGCACTGTGCATTGGTGGTATTATAGGGTTGGAGGCAATCGGCCACAGGAAGCCTTGCTTCACCTAGTTTTCGTGCTAGTTGGCACTCATCAGCCTCCAACCTTAGGCGTCCGTGGCACAGTGGTTAGGACTCTCGCCGACCATGCACATGGTCCCGGGTTCGAGCCCTCGCCGACGCACACCTCATATCTATGGTCGGCCTGCAAAATATGGGCTACCGATATCCACGCTGAAAATTCCATACTTGTACCAAAAATACAGTGTGGAATCAAGCTGTAATCAGAAATAAAAATAAAATAAATATAAGGTCAAAGTGTTCTCTAGCATGATTTCATGAAAAATCAATGATATATAAATGATGTATTACTCCGCGAACGTATGTTTGTCATTCTCTAGCCGACGAATGATTGGGATACAAACGAAGCATACATAGCTAGATAGTTTTGCCACACATTTATGTGCATTTATCAATTCAACTGCACTTGCGCAGTGAAAGTTATGTTAGGCCTACTACTACTACTACTGCTAGACAGCTTAGCCAACCAACGTGTTACTGAACATCTCCCATTGTGGTTTAGTAAAGGATAGATAAAAACAATCCATTATAAGTTTATAGACCGTAGGTGTTACGAACTTCCTGACTATATATTTTGATGATTAATTAAAATCCGAATAAATCTGCTGTGGCTTACACAGCGAAACGTTCAGAAAAATCTTGTTTTGATTTTCTTAAACACGCTAGGATTAAATTTTTGATTTTCCCGTCGACTGATTGGCCCCAAGTGGTCTAGTGGATAACGCTTTGGCGTTTGAAACTACGGGCACTGGGTTCGAGCCTCGGTGGGAACATCATCACTCACTGAGAAATGCAGGCACATCCAGCTGACGAGTCCCAATTAGGACGAAATGCGCATCCTGGATTCCACTGCTAGCCACCATCCACCAATTGTACACGCTAGGATTAATTTAAATAATTTATAATAAAAAATAATCCATAGCTCCACTTTGTCACATTCAATTGATAGGGATCATATAGTGGAGAATACGAAAGCTTTCAACGTAATTCACCGCATCCCACCGAATCTTTCCAACAGACTTCGTATTCGTCTACTTCATTCGAACAACTTTAAAGCTGAAACTATGTTTATTCAGCAGAAGTTCGTACAGACATTATCCCTCCATTGTTGGCCTATTAAGACCTAACCAAATGATGACGTCTCCATCATCATCCACCCTTTGCTTATATTTTCAACCCCTCTTTTATCATCCCTTAATCTTACCACATCTTCATTAAAACGTGTTTCATTGACTTCCCTTACAATCTGCCTGTCTGTCTGTTTTCGACATAGAACTTTGCACCGATGTGCGGCAGTTCAAGTCGTCACACTCCATGTAGCACGCAAAGCAAGAGAAGAAAGTAGAAGAAATGCATCCCTTACAAGCTAGCATTACGAAATTGGCTCATTTGTTTTTTTAGCCTTTATCGACCACTTCTACCTGAACATTTATTTGTTGAAATTTAAGTGGTGGATGGTGATGGACTAGCAGTGGAATCCAGGATGCGCATTTCTTCCTATTTGGGACTCGTGGTCAACTGGATGTACCTGCATTCCCCAGTGAGTGATCATATCCCCGCCGAGGCTTGAACCCAGTGCCCATCGTTTCAAACACCGAGGCATTATCCACTAGATCAGTGGGAATATCATCACTCACTGGGAAATGCAGGTACATCCAGCTGACCACGATTTCCAAATTGAATGAAACGCGCATCGTGAATTCCACTGGTAGTTCTCATCCACCAATTAAATTCCAATTACATGCCCAGACATTGTCGAAGCATCTGCACAAGAAGCCGACAGACATGTCAACCTGAGGTGGAGCACTTCGGTCCAATCAATCGACAGGAAAATCTAAAATTCAATTAAATTTAATTGTTCAGTCATGCTGTTTTTCGTTATTCTTTTTATCACAGGTCGCTTCACATTTCCATCCTTGTTACTGATTGAATTATTATTATTATTATGACTAATTGCGCAATTTATATGTACAGTCTTATTATCATATAATAATTTAATTTTTGAACTTACTACCTCCTTCAATCCGTTACCGTGAGCACAGATCTGTATCACGCAACATTTTCTGAAGAAAGTTCATCAAATTTAACTCATTTTACGAGTATTTTTTTCCTTCACGTTCCTCAGTGGAACATAGGGGAGGAGGGGGTTCAAGCTAGTGGCTTGAAGTTTCTGTAGTAGTGTTTATTTTACAGGATGGGGCTGCTAGCCTCATGCCTAACTTTCCCTCCTTACCAATCTTATTACTAGGTAAGTGAGGTAAAGGAGTGCGTCTGTGGCCGGGGATCGAACCCCGGACCATGTGCATGGTCAGCGAGCGTCCTAACCGCTATGCCACCGATGCACTTTTCTCGAGTATAACGTCAGAGAAAAAAACATTTCATTGCACAATTTCATTTAAAAAAAAACATTTTTAGAAATATAACTTGTCATTATTAAACCACCATAGCACAATGGACTAGGATGTTACAATTAGCGAGGATTTACAATACATTCATTGCTTTTATGATGATTTTTGTTTTGATACAGTTGGGCTGTTTTGTAACTGAATACTTTGACTGTAAAGCTTTCGCGTTGGATGCAACAGCTGTCCAGTACTATTCTCTGATTCTCCTTTGATTCAAAACTCATGCCAGCTAGTAAACAAACCTTGTAACCAATCAAATGCCTGTAAACGAAGGCTTGAAAAAAAGCTAATTTGTTTATGTTTAGTTGTCAACTGATTTGATGAAAATAACTTCTGTCATCAGTGAGAACACTTACAGATATACAGATATACTCCAAACACAGTTGTTTTTTTCTGTTCTGTTCTGTTCTCATTCTTGTCAGCCGTGCGTGTGTGTAGTACCGAACTTGGGATTTTCAAACTTCTTGGCCAGCAGTTTAGCAATTTGTCCACTAGATCTATGTTTCTAGGGATCTATGATTTCACACCTGCTTTTGCTGCTATTATTTTGTTTTCTCTATCGGAGCCACAGGGAGTACTGGACAGTCAGCTGTTTGGGATTCATCGGTAGTACGCACGCACCAACATGCTTGGAACCCAGGACCTTGTAGTTACAAGGCAGTCTTGTAGACCATTCAGATACCTACTGCAACCCGACTCAATGACCAGCCCATGAATTCTAACTTCTGGGAGGAACAGACAAGGGAAAATCAAGCAGGCTTTAGACCAGGTAGAGGGTGCATAGATCATATCTTCACTCTTCGACAGATTCTAGAACATAGACACACTTTTCGGCGTCCAACAATTGTCATATTTCTTGACTTGAAGGCGGCCTTCGACTCCGTGGACCGAAAGGTACTATGGCAATGTCTGACTGTGAAGGGAGTGCCAAGAAAGTACATTGCACTAATCAAGGCACTCTATTCAAACTCACGTAGTCGTGTAAGGGCTTATGGGGAATTGTCATCTGAATTAGTAACAACCAGTGGTGTCCGACAGGGATGTCCACTTTCCCCATTTCTGTTTAACTTCATCATAGATATGCTAATGGAAGTATCCTTAACTGAACGTAGTGACTTAGGAATCGACTTGTTACCAGGGAATAATCTTATGGACTTAGAATATGCAGATGACATAGTCCTGTTAGGGGAGGATGCTGACAAAATGCAGAGTCTTCTGAACACCTTGAGCAGCAATCTTCGTATGTTTGGCATGCGATTCGCCCCTGCAAAATGTAAGATGCTGCTACAGGACTGGACCACGTCAACCCCTAACTTAGTGATAGGGAGTGAAGTGATAGAACATGTTGACCACTTCACCTACTTGGGAAGTTGTATTAGCACCAACGGACTGATTGGCGATGAAATCTCAGCACGGATCCGAAAAGCTCGAGCTGCTTTCGCTGACTTACACCATCTCTGGCGTAGGCGTGACATCCGGTTATCAACCAAGGGACGTGTGTACTGCTCATCAGTTCGCTCCGTCCTTCTCTATGGCTCTGAAACATGGCCAATACGCGTTGAAGACATGAAAAGGTTGACTGCTTTCGATCATAGATGTCTGCGATCTCTGTCTCACGTTAGGTGGTTTCACAAGATAAGTAATGTTGACGTTAGGCGTAGAGTGTTGGGCAAAGAGGGAAAATCAATCGACGAGGTTATAAAGTTACATAGACTAAGATGGCTAGGTCACGTGGTGCGCATGCCTAACCACCGCCTCCCCCGACGGGCATTGTTAGCTGATATAGGTTCAGGTTGGAAAAGAGCCAGTGGTGGCCAAACAAAAACATGGCATCAATCCATGAAATCCTTGACAGTTAAACTGAGTCAGGTAGGGAGATGCAGACTCCCGGGTTGGGGCCCTCGGGACTCTAGGAATCAATGGCTGGAGACAATAGGTGACATGGCTCAAAATCGTTGTCAATGGCGCAGATGTATTCAATCTCTGTAATCTTTCATATTCCTTTCTACCATTACCCATTCTGTTTCACTCTTATATTTGTCAAACTCTATTAATTCTCTTCACTCATCTTCTTGTCTACCTCTGTGTGCTATTTGGAACGTGGCAACTCGAACTGCTGCACTTCGGTGCCAAGTTCTATGTTGAATCCAGACAGACAGACAGACTTCTGCCCCAAGTCTCTGATTCAATTTTCGATATCCCATCATTAATTTTCTTTTTCTTCTAGCCTCTAGCTTGAAGCCCTGTTTAACTGGGAACATAAAGTGGTCTTGCTATATCGTGAATTGGCAGAGGTTAGAGTTCATGGGCTGGTCATTGGATCGGGTCCCTGTGGCTTAATGGCCTACGAGCTCGCCTTGTGACCATAAGGTCCTGTGCTCGAACCCCGGTGGGTGCGTACTTCTGAAGGGTCCCAAACTAGGACGAAACAGCTGTCCAGTACTCCCAGGTCCTACAATGGTTCTCTAACCAATATCAGCTCAAGATGAAATCCTGTAACCAATCAAGTCCCTACAAACCAACACTTGAAACAATAAATTCTTTTACCAAACCTTGGTCGTCATTTTCCGCCTCATACCCACTCTTCTATAGTTTTTCGACATACTACCGACCAGTAAGATTCGCAACGTATTGTATCACTCATCTTGTGATCATCAAAGTGTTTGTACAATTGTCACCACCTTTTATTTGTCATGCTTCTTTCTACTATTTTTGTATTTTAATCGATCTATGTACAGGGTTGTTTAATTTCTTCCAAACTCTCCTATTTTTAGACTAATATGAAAGGTGAAACACCATTACACGTGGCTGCAATCAATGGGGATATGGAACATGTAGTGAAATTAATCGAAGTTTTGGTAAGTTTATTGAAATATAACTTGTCGTTTAGCAGGAGCTTTTCCGTTGTTGAAAATAACGTCAGTTGAAGTCGTTGTATTATCTTTTAATAATTATAAGAGCAGTTGATTCTGTGGGATTCAGGATTCGTTCTTCCATAAATAACGAGTTACGAACAAATGAGGGTAGACTCATGTCTTCCCCTCAACTAGTGGACATGGAGTGATCTCTCAAAAGCGTTGAAAAACCCTTATTTCAAACCTCTAGAGGTGTGCATGAGAGTCAACATCTAGTTGTCATCTGAAGTGGTGACAGCTAGTGGTGTTCGTCAGCGAGTGATGCCCACTATCCCCATTTCTATTCAACTTCATCATAGATGGATGTACTAATGGACTTAACCCTAACTCACTTCAGCGACTCAGGGATTGACTTGCTACCAGGGTATGAATAATCTCGTTGACTTAGAATATGCAGACGATATAGTCCTTCTAGGCGGGGACGCTGACAAAATCCAACAGAGTCTTCTGAACACATTGAGCTGCAATCTACGAATGTTTGGCATACGATTCGCTCCCGCCAAATGCAAGATTTTATTTTTGATTTACAGCTTGATTCCACACTGTATTTTCGGTACAAGTATGGAATTTTCAGCATGGATATCGGTAGCCCAAATTTTGCAGGCCGACCATAGATATCAGGTGTGCGTCGGTGCGGGCTCGAACCCCGGACCATGTGCATGGTCGGCGAGAGTCCTAACCACTGTGCCACCGACGCACCGACGATAATGTTACAGGACTGGACTACACTGACTGCTAGTTTAGAAATAGGGAGTGTAGTGGCAGAGCGTGCTGACCACTTCACTTATTTTGGAAGTTGCATCAGCCAGTGCCAACTGGTTGATCTCTGACGAAATCTCAGCACGGATACAGAGGGCTAGTTCCGTATATGCCCGTTTACGCCGTCTCTGGCTTAGTAGACGTAATATCCGGCTGTATATCGATCAAAGGGCGGGTGTACTGCTCATCAGTCCGCTCTGCCCTCCTTTATAGCTGTGAGACCTGGCCACTGAGAGTGGAAGACATGAAAAGATTAGCTGTCTTTGATCATAGGTGCCTGCGCTCTATCTCCTGTGTGAAGTGGTATAATAAGGTGAGCAATATTGAGGTTAGCCATCGGTCGAGTGCTAGGTAAGGAAGAGAATTCAGTCGATCAGGTGGTGAAGTTACACCTACTGAGATGATTAGGGAATGTGTCACGCATGTACGTCTAGTCATCGCCTTCCTCGATGGGCAATGTTAGCTGACATAGGATCAGGCTGGAAAAGAACTGGCGGTGGTCAAACCAAAACATGGCTTCACCAGTCAATGAAATCCACAACAGTTAGTTTAAGCCAGCCACGTAGGAAGGTGTAGACTTCCTGATTGGCTGGTTGAGGTCCTCGGGACGGTCAAACCCAGTGGCTGGAAACAATTGGTGATATGGCTCAAAATCCTCGTTTTGAATTGCTGGCGCGGATGCATTCACTCCTGGTGATTTATAATACCCAATGAAACACTATTGTTCTTCGTTATTACTATTCCTGTCTACTATCTGTATTTTGCATTTCTTCTACTTTCTTCTGTTGCTTTGTGGGCTACATGGAGGGGAGTGTGGTGACTTGAACTGCTCCACATCTGTGCAAAGTTTTATGTCGAAAACAGACAGACAGACAGACAACATCGAAAATGAACGATTGGCGTTATTGGTGTCGGTGGGTATGTAGCTCCTGACTTTGCCTGCCGTCTTTTCGATTGGACTTCACGTCAAAGACAGGTGAAGTTATACCTTGTCACGACCGCCTTCACATGATGTAACACCCGTAGTATACTACCATACATGTTTTAAAAAAGTGAATAGGCTATTTTTGAATTGGGTGTCCAAATTTTCACTAAAATCTGAATTTATTACCCATAATTTAGAATGCCCTGGCGTCAACCACAAAACTGCTGAATTGCTGTTGCCACATCTTGTTCAATGGCTATTTGTTTGGAATGTTTTGACCTCTTTTTCTTTGTTGAGTGACAAGATTTGCTTTCTCAATTTACCCTCGACATATGTGCCCGTTGTAAAGACGTTTCACACTTGTTATTACACAACAGGAGCTAATAACGAGCAAAACACAGTCACCAACCGGTTGGATATTATGTCCATTACTGCTCAAATAGCAATTCATTACATCAACTGATGAATAACAAATAACTAGCATCTGAGAAGCAGTAAAATTGTGCTTATCTACGTTAGCTACTCATAAGTAGTATAATGTGAAAAGTTAAAATATGCTTCAGGCACTTCATTTTGTTCATTGATCTTGCTTACAAAAGCAAATTTGATTATTTGAAATATTCGCTTCTCCAAGTTGAATGGATCTGGTCACACTGTTAATAATATCAATGATAGAGAAATAGAATAGTCGTCTCCTCTCGGAATCATCACTATCCTCTCTAGAAGTAACTGATAGCCGAGGTCAGTTACCCGCAATTTACGAATGTCACCCAGTATGAAACTATTATTAGTATTCCAAACATGTTACTGTTGTGGCTTGTGCTACTGGTGGGGTTTATTAGTAGTATACAAAGAGACTTTCATCGGCATAAAACATCAAACTTCAGGGAGATAGATTTGAAATCAAAGATAGGAAATGATACACGTTGAAGAGATACGTCGGAGACGTGTAAGGAACACAAATCAACTCAATATGAAGAGCTTAAGTAGCACCTATCTGAATGGATTTGTAAGTTTAAATGTCACCGTAATTCCTGCTTTATTGAGAATCCTACGTAGGCGGGGGGGGGTTCAGATTCGCCCTCCTTATATGGTAAAACTACTGTAGATGCCTTATATTCTTTCTTATTTATGTCATCATTATTAGTTTCACTATTATTTTTTCTTTGCTTTTGACCTTTTCTTATATTCCTAATGAATTTTATAGGATAGTTATTTAACACTAAGTAGCTATTCTTCTATCTGTTTCGTCGTCGTTTAGGTAATACTTAGTGTTGTTATTCCTCGGTTTGTTAGACACATGACTAGGCCTTCCTTTACAGACAACAGATGAGAGGAATTAAGGAAGTCTAAATATCTATTAGCAGAATGCGTGGGCGCCTTATAAACAGTTTTACTATATAAGGAGGGGACATCTGAAACTCTTAGTAAGATTCTTAATAAAGCAGGAATTAGGGTGGCATTTAAACCCACAAACTCATTCAGGTAGAACAAGCTTTGTGGGATAAAAGACCCAGTGGGCCTAATTAGACAAGATAATATAATTTACAAAATACCTTGCAATGACTGTGAGTCTGGCCAACTACATAAGTCAAACTAGTAGGTCGCGCGTAGTCAGATTGTCGGAACATAAGAATTTAGCTAAGGTATTAATGGTTAAACCCGAGAAGGCTTCTTAATTTGGACGAAATTGCGATTTGTTGGCATGTGGTAAATGATCCCGAAAGCATGGTTAACATCAATCTGGTGTTCTGTATTCACAAGATGAGATAGAATAGCGCTACGAATAAATTTTGTTTGTCCCTTAATTAACCACCACACAGGACGATGTTCGGAAATCCGAGAAGAGAAACACGCCTAATTGTACGGAGCAGTTTTCTAGATCCCCGTCTCATATTGTATTGTATTGTATTTTTCTCTCTTTCTCTCTCCCTCTCTCTTTGATTTGATAGGGTCATCCAGTTAATGTTCCAGATGGTGCTGGCTGGTTACCGATTCATGAGGCAGCATTTCACGATAGATCAGAGATTGCAACTTATCTACTTGATCGTGGAGCACGTCTAGATGATCCAGGCTATCCAGATGACTATTCAACACCATTATTTGAAGCTGTTCATAATGGTAGTTTGACAACTGCATTGATTTTTGTTAACAGAGGTGCTAATCTCTGGCATAAGTAAGTTGCATTACCTAGAAAGAAACTGTAAATTTGTATAGATTATCTTGGGTGTTCTTCATTTTCAAGCAGGTCATAACTACTCAAGTGTTTTCCGCTTGACAACTGAACTCTGGAATCCAGATATACAAAATGGTACATACCCCCTCCCCCCCTTCCATGGAGTTCACTGCTAGTCATCAAGATATTTTTTTTAGGTACAATGTGTAGCTATATCTCTAGATCTCTGTGCATAGTCAACCGATTGACTGACTAATAAATCACCATATTTTGATTACGGCTTGATTCCACACTGTATTTTTGGTACAAGTATGAAATTTTCAGCATGTGATATCGGTAGTCCAAATTTTGCAGGCCGACTATAGATATCAGGTGTGCGTCGGCGCGAGCTTGAACCCTGGACCGTGTGCATGGTCGGCGAGAGTCCTAACCGCTGTGCCACCGACGCACTAGTTTGTTTATTAGATGTATCACACGGTGAAACAGTATTACTGTTTACTAGATGACACAGTTTCGAACAAAATGTATTATTCATAATCGTATCATCAATTATAATCACACGACTTTGTAACTTAACTTTTATAGTTTTCTTTGTTCTCTCCCATTTGTCGTATGGGTAGTGGAATTTTCCAGATATCTAACTGGACAGGTGTTGAATCATTTCTGTTACATGTATTTGCAGTTGATTAGATAAACAAAGCTTCCGGTATCAATCTCTCCCTCCATCCTGTGACATTAGATTTTAGTGCTATAGATATATATGTAGCTGCACACAAACATACAATGAGATTTAAAAAAATTTTTTTTTATTATAGCTTGAAACCACGCCGTATTTTTGGTACATGTATGGAATTTTCAGCATGTGATATCGGTAGTCCAAATTTTGCATGTCGAGCATAAATATCGGGTGTGCGTCGGCAGGGAGTCGAACCCCGGACCAATTGCATGGTTGGCGAGAGTCCTAACCGCTGCGCCACCGACGCCAGATGGATGGGATAAGATGACAGTTTTTTTGAGATCTGATGTCACCGTATGGAGGGAGAGGTTGATAATGGAAACTTTGTTTATCAAGTCAACTGCAAATACATGTAATAGGAATGATTCAACATCTCTCCCAGATATCTGGAGAAAACAAAGAAAACTATAAAAGTCAAATTTCAAAGTTGTGTGATTATAATTGATGATATGATTATGAACAGTAATAAATTTTGTTCGAAATCTCGTCATCCAGTAAATAGTAATACTGTTTCACAGACTGTGTGATACACCTAATAAACAAACTATTATGAAATAACTTACTACCACAACGCCCAAGTTTTACACATATATTAAAAAAATAGTTTTATTTTAATTAGGATGAAACAGCAACTGTCCAATACTCCCTGGTTTTCAATGGTTCTCTAACTGATATCAATCCGTGATCAACTCGTAAAAACATAACAAACCCTTACAAACCAAACTATAGAAAAGTAATAGTTTGAGTTAATTTTGTTATCAGTCTGATTGGTTGTACCCATGCAGACTGTTAAAGGTAAGTGTTGACTGCGCAAATATTCAACAAATGCCATCCAGCCACAAAGTTCACTCTGGAAACTGAAATCCCTTTTCTTGATGTTGAGCTTACAAGGAGAGATAACGGAACTTTAAGAAGGTCAATCCATAGGAAACCCACTTGGAATGGACAATTGACAAGTTTCTACAGCTGGGTACCAATCAGTCGGAAAAGAACCTAATTAAATCCCTTGCCACTCGCGTCAGACGCATCTGCAGTTCCAACACCATGGAAGAAGAACTAAACTTCCTGAGGGGAATCTTCATACAAAATGGCTACCCACCAAGATTCGTAGACAAAAACATCAAACAGAAAAACCAAAAGCAAGAGACACCATCCGTGCCAAAAAGGATACTTTATGTTAACCTAGACTTCAAAGGAGACCTACTTAGTGACGTCCTCAGAAGGAGAATTTCCACCTCTTTAGGAAGAACTTTCCCTGCGGCGACATTAAGAATGGTGTTTTTCAGTCGCCCGCTGATCTGCAGAAACCCAAAGGACAAGATTCCGCACATGACCACTTCTATGTGTATATATCAGCTCACCTGTTGCTCTGGCGCCAGGTACATCGGTCGTTCAACGCGCATCCTGCCAAAAAGGGTCAAACAACAGTAATTTGTTTTCCTAATTTAGGATTTTCAAATACACAGTCAACAATCTTAAGCATCGTTGTTTCGTCTTTTACATTAAATGATAAGTGAAATAGGAAGTTGAATTTTATGTAATCGATTCAATATCTTCCGTGACTAAGCTGACTTAGACACCTGACCAATCACTACTACACATCTTGCAGTATTAAACGTATACTTAGAAGTTGAAAATTTAAAAAAAAAATTAGACCTTAATCAGCTTGATATAATAGAATCTCCTAGTGATCACATTGTTCTTCTGAAACGGTTGGCGGCGATAGGCTCAACGTTGTCACTCGTCAGCAAGCCCAGTGTATATGTATGTGGTGAGAGCTGTCTGCTAGCTAAATTGGTAGACACCAGTTTACGTCAATGTTTACGTCCCAAATCGGAGTCATGAGAAAAAAAACAAGAACAAAGACTAACTCAACAACCAGTGACAGCGGACTTTGCATGGGCGGATAAGATTCGCAGATATATGGTCTGACCTTCAAAGAAACGGCTACAAAGAGATGACAAAATAGCTTCCAGTGGGAAGACGACCAATCAGAAGACGCTGTTTGTCTGCTAAAAATAAAGAATAATAATTTATTGTATGGAGGATTTCATCATGAGCTGACATCAGTTAGAGAACCATTGGAAGACCTGGGAGTACTGGACAGCTGTTTCGTCAGCCTAGTTTGGGACTCCTCAGCAGTACGCACCCACCGGAGTTCGAACCCAGGACCTTGTGGTTACAAGGCGAGCTCGTAGACCATTGAGCCACTGGGATCTAACTGATGTCAGCTCATGATTAAATCCTCCATACAGTCAAACCGAATCCCTACAAAACCAACACTTGAAAATAATAATTTACTTAAAAATACATAAGGCGTCGGTGGCACAGCGGTTAGGACTCTCGACAACCATGCACATGGTCCAGGGTTTGATCCCCGGCCGACGCACTCTTTTGCCTCGCTAAGCCAGAAATAATACTGGTAAAGAGGAAAGGTCGGGAACGAGGCTAGCAACCTCATCCTATAAAAATAAAGACTGCTACAGAAACTTCAAGCCACTAGCTTGAAGCCCTATGTTCCACTGGGAATGTGAAGGAAAAATTATTATTATTAATAAAAATACATAAATATTTGTTGATTTCCTCAATAAAGGATCTGTTACCTGACCTTCGTCTTCTGTCGTTACATATATACTTGTAACCTCGAAGGATCTGATGTCTCCTCAACGAATTTGGGACACTTGCGTTGTTACCCACTTACTACCTGCAGAGATGTTACCACTAAGGTAGGTAGTCACTCAGCACTACTAAACAATAGACACGTTGATTTTGATTACAGCTTGATACCACACCGTATTTTCGGTACAAGTGTGGAATTTTCAGCATGTGATATCGGTAGCCCAAATTTTGCAGGCCGACCATAGATATCAGGTGTGTGTCAGCAGGGGACCATGTGCATGGTCGGCGAGAGTCCTAACCACTGTGCCACCGACGCACGGTGGAAGACAAGTGACTTAGTAAACGAATCGTCATTTGGTAATTGGTATCTCTATATAGCTAAATTATGTATACCCCTTATCTTCAACGCTCCATTTGCACAGATCTTCATGTTGTGTTCCTTTCACATCTTCAATATATCCACACAACGGTGTATCATTTACCTTCGCTGAAATTAAATCTATCTCCCTGCTGTTTGATAATTTTTTATGCCATTGAACGTCTCTCTTTATAGACTACTGATAAATCTTATCAGTAGTACTCGCCACAATGTGACCGACCAATCAATAGAAATAATCCGTATCGATTTACACTTTTCTTTTGCTCTACATTTTCTCATTTAGGAATAAACAAGGTGAATATTTGCCAAATTTATTAGATCAATGGGAACCAACACGTCATGCATCGGGGACATTTGCTGAACAACGCGTAAAATTTAATGAATTGTTAACAGCTATTAAAAATCGACTTGGAGGTAGATTTTTGGCGGTTTTACTTTAAGACATTTATGATTATCTAAAAAGTAACATTAACTTTTTTTTATTATAGATGTTTATAGTGTCGATGTATCTGACAATTTAGTTAAACATTTAATATTCAGATGTGTAAACTGTGGAAACTTGGAGCACTATGTAGAAGTGTAAAAAGAGAGTAAAGAAGAATGCCAGGGAAGTCAAAAGGAAATATTATGAAAGTGTGTTAGGTGAAGCAGAAAAAGCTGCAGTTCAGGCCATGGAGATCTCGCAACACCCTACCAAACAACTAGGTTCCTATCGGGGAAAAGGTCAACACAAGCCAGTGAAAGGTGACAATGGTAAGTCAATCACCAAGGTGGTGGAGCAAACGGAACACTGGGCTGAACACTCCAGAAGACTTCTAAAACAACTGCCACCTACAATGCGCTCAGTAATATCAACGGCGAAAGCAGAAATACCAGTGGGCACCAGCCCTTGACGAGAACAAAAATCCTGAAGGCAATAAAGATGCTAAAAATTGGAAAAGCAGCAGGATCAGACGGATCCCAGTAGAAGCATTGAAAATGGACCCCGAGACATCAGCCATCGGACTTGATTACACCACTACTAGAGAAGGTGTGGAAAGAGGGTAAGATGCCTGACGGATTGGAAGAAAAGCTGCTTATTTAAACTGCCAACGAAAGGAGACTTAAGTCGATGTAAGAACTGGCGCGGGATTATGCTCCTGTCCATCCTAAGGAAAATCCCAAGCCACATCATCCTGGAGAGAATCAAACACGCCAACCTGAATGAAAAACTTCTACCGAAACGGACTGGATTCAGGAGAAACAAGCCATGCATTGACTAAATCGCAACACTATGGATCATCATCGAACAGAGCTTGGTCTGTCTGTTTGGATTCAACATAGAACTTGGCACCGAAGTGCACCAGTTCGAGTTGCCACGTTCCAAATAGCACACACAGGTAGACAAGAAGATGAGTGAAGAGAATCAATAAAGTTTGACAAGTATAGGAGTGAAACAGAATGGGTAATGGTAGAAAGGAATATGAAAGATTACAGAGACTGAATACTTGTGCGCTGGCCATTGACAACGATTTTGAGCCATGTCACCTATTGTCTCCAGCCATTGATTCCTAGAGTCCCGAGGCCCCCAACCCAGGAGTCTGCATCTCCCTACCTGACTCAGTTTAACTGTCAAGGATTTCATGGATTGATGGGGCCATGCTTTTGTTTGGCCACCACTTACTCTTCTCCAACCTGCACCTATATCAGCTAGCAATGCCCGTCGGGAGAGGCGGTGGTTAGGCATGCGCAGCACGTGACCTAGCCATCTCAATCTATGTAACTTTATAGCCTCGTCGATTGATTTTCCCTCTTTGCCCAACACTCTACGCCTAACGTCAACATTACTTACCTTGTGAAACCACCTAACGTGAGACAGAGATCGCAGACATCTATGATCGAAAGCAGTCAACCTTTTCATGTCTTCAACGCGTATTGGCCATGTTTCAGAGCCATAGAGAAGGACGGAGCGAACTGATGAGCAGTACACACGTCCCTTGGTTGATAACCGGATGTCACGCCTACACCAGAGATGGTGTAAGTCAGCGAAAGCAGCTCGAGCTTTTCGGATCCGTGCTGAGATTTCATCGCCAATCAGTCCGTTGGTGCTAATACAACTTCCCAAATAGGTGAAGTGGTCAACATGTTCTATCACTTCACTCCCTATCACTAAGTTAGGGGTTGACGTGGTCCAGTCCTGTAGCAGCATCTTACATTTTGTTGGGGCGAATCGCATGCCAAACATACGAAGATTGCTGCTTGGAATGGCAGTCAGCTCTCAACCTCAACTTAATCGACTTTGAGAAGGCCTTCGACAACGCAGCGTCAATCGAGAGGTGATTTGAAAACTACTTCGCTACTTTCAAGGGGTGCCGCCAACAATTATACATCCCATCCAACAATTACACGACCATACTCCATGCCAAGTAATCCACAACGGGAAGCTCACGGAATCGTTCGAAGTGAAGACGGGAGGAGTAAGACAAGCTGACTGTCTATTTATCATCTCCAGTGATTTCCCTGATTGTGGTAGACTGGATAACGTCGTGAATTGGCAAAAGTTAAAAATTCAAGTACCATGGGATCGGGTTCCAGTGGCTCAATGGTCTACGAGCTCGCCTTGTCACCACAAGGTCCTGGGTTTGAACCCTGGCGGTGGGCGCATACTGATAAAGGGTCCCAAACTAGGCTGACGAAACAGCTGTCCAGTACTCCCAGGTTTTTCAATGGTTCTCTAACTGATGTCAGCTCATGATGAAATCCTCCACATATATATTATTCAGCATATTTACTCGTCCACTGTCTTCCACTGAATAATTGTTCCCCTCCTTTAAACCTGTAGATGATTATGATCGTTGGTGTAATCTTAAGCGAGAAATTTTCGAAGTTGATCATTCATCTCCTGAATCTGATTCACCTGAATTAGTCAAACAACATTCAACATGCCGTTCAAATCGTCGAAAATCATCAAAGCATTATTCATCTTCACTATGCGATATCGAAGAAAAAACTAAATCGATACAATCATCAAATGTGAATAAAGCGAAATCTTTACGTGGTCGGAATTGGAAAGATTTACTTGTTGATTTGGATGAAGATTGTCAGTCTGCGTCACCTGTGGTCAATTTGAAGAAATTAGATGTGGATGCTGTGGAGTCATATAAAGCAGCTATAAAAGCTGTTGGCAGTTCAAAGCCAGTGTAAGTTCACTTTTACTCTGGGTCGGTTAAACTATTTTTTCTTTTTTTTTCTTTTTGATTCATGGAAAATTCCTATTGTAACATATAGAAAATCAAAACAAGTGATGATTTAGCGAAGAGAATCTTTTCAACAACGAATTTATTATCAAGCTGTACAATCGTATAATATATATGGTATTAGATAGTTGGAGGCAATCGGCCACAGGAAGCCTTGCCCGGACCTAGGTTTCGTGCTAGTTGGCACTCACCAATCAGTCAACAAGGCGTATCTGCAACCTTGAAGGAACTCATATCCCTCCTTCTGAGATTCGAACCCACGTGACCCAGTGCCGCCTGCAGTCAGAGACGTTACCACTGAGCTAGCAAGTCGGGCTCCCGACTGACCTCCTGTAGGGACTGTATTGGATATTTTTGACTGCGCACCAGTCAGTAACTAGTGTAATGTGTCTAGTCGTATCTTCGCTGCAGACTGAATTCTATCACAGTGCACCGTGATGGCGAGCCACCTAGTAGCATGGTGGCCACATTGCAAGCTTGACTGATAGAATTCAGTCTGCAGTGAAGATAGGACTAGACACATTACACTAGTTACTGACTGGTGCGCAGTCAAATATACATATATATATATATGTAACAACAGAAGACGAGGGCTGGCAACAAATCGTTTTATTACGAAAATCAACACGTATTTTTATATAATTTATGTACATTAATAAGGCTTATGCAAGCAGAAAAAGGCAGTCTTCTGATTGGTTGTTTCTCGGAAGTTAAGCAGACAAACAGTCTTATGATTGGTTGTTTTCGATATTCCTCGGAAAGTAGAGCCATCTATCTGTGAATCATATTTGTCCACGTTTAAGTTTGCTGTGATTGGTTGTTTTCGATATTCCTCGGAAAGTAGAGCCATCTATCTGCGAATCATATTTGTCCACGTTTAAGTTTGCTGTGATTGGTTGTTGAAACAGCCTTGTTCATATTTTCTCACGGCCCATATCAGTGACCTAGACATTAACGTAGATTAGTGTCAACCAATCGGCTAGCAGCCTGCTCTCACCATATATATATGGCGAGAGCAAGTTATATCCGGTGAGAGAATTCAATCATAGGTGTGAATACATGAAATAATAATAGTAGCATGAAATCCAATTAAGATGTTTGTGATTATAATCTCAATATATATATATATATATATATATATATATATATATATATATGTGTGATATGTAGAATAATACATAGGATGGAAAGAACTTGGAAGGGGTGTGCAATTTTGGGATTAGTTGGCAAATAGAGTGGAAATAAAAACGTTACGTAATATTGTGTGAAATTTGATAGCCTAGAAATTTAACGTTGTAAAAAAGAATTGATTTAGAATGACAAGTGGAACTGGGGACAGTTCAAAGTGAGAATAATAATAATAACAATTGACGTACTAAAGGAAGAGAATACAAATTGAATAGACAAAATGAAAAATTGGTGGAGCTAAAATATGATTGGGGATTACCATACTTTAGCATAGAGGGATTAAGACCATGAAAGTTGGAGGGGTTGAATGAACTTTTTCTGTTATACAGAGATCTGGCTTTTCTGTTTCGATAGCTAAAGATGGCTTCAGCAATACAGATGAGTCGAGTGGATACGTAATGATTTCGGTAAATTACTTTTTGCCCTGTAGATGACTTTAAAGACGGAGCCTATAGAGATAGATAGGGTGATCATTATCGACCAGATGTTCAATGATCGCATTTCTTATCGCTCCACTTCCACCTTTTCGTAACTACCATACAGGATAATGTTCTTGCACCCTCCTGAACAAAACTCGAGTCGAACGACTGATATACCTAGCTCCACACGAACAAGTGAATTGATAAACAATCATGGAGTTGGTCAACAGCGGGATCTTGTGTCTCAGATTACTGGACAGTAATGGTTGACTGGTAAAGGCTATTCTCAACGATGCAGCAGGGAATGTTCTTTCCGGGACTGTGATATCCTTCTCTTAATGATATCGGAAGCTAAGTCCCCTATGAATTCCAAGCTCATGTGCAGTATTTTCTTGGGTGCGGATGACAAGTCACGTTTCATAGGATTTGAATCTATATTCTTGTCTATAAAACGTGGTGGAAATCCATTTTCTATCAGGATTTTCCTCAAAAGATTTAACTCATCCTCCACAGTGTCAGGGCCACATATGCACCGAAAATGCGAGTGGCAAGCGACCGGACCAAGTTTCGTTTTCGACCAATGGCTACCCAGCTGCAGAAATTTTTCAGTTGGCCATTCCATGACAGCTTTCGATAAATCGATCTCTCCAGAGTTCCATCAGTCCTCCTCGATAGGTTCACATCGAGGAAATGAATTCTAGACTCGTTCTCCATTTCGAGTGTGAATTTTATCCCTGGATGGCAACCATTAAATTTGTTAAATATATTATTCAAATTACAATCATTATTACAAATAATAAAGGTGTCACCTACATACCTTCTATACATTTGAAAGCTTTGAATTGTTGACTTCAACTGGTCATTTTTTAGAATAGCCATAAAACTCTGCAAGGAGAGGACCTAAGGCAGAACCTATTGCAATACCATCCTTCTGTCCGTAGATTGTTTCAGTGAAAGTAAACTGTACATTCAATGTACACCTTAAAAGTAGTTCTTTCAAATCTATTGTGGGTATCCCTATATTCAATTTGTTGTCTTCAATATACATTTGCATATAAAACACACGGTTTCTGTCAGTGGAACGTTCGTAAATAGGGATTTTTACATCCAAAGACAACATATGTTTACTCGAAACATTTGTATCCTGTATACATTCAACAAATTGGAAGGTGTTCCGAAGGGAATGATTAAATAGTTGTCCCCTGACGGGTTTGACGATTTCAGCTAACCATCCAGCTACTGGGTGATAAGGTGATCCGGACATACGTCGTTGAAAAGAGTCTCTTCGCTGAATCACTTGTTTTGATTTTCTGTTAAACTAATCATTACAATAGAAAGCGTGAGGATCGATAGTCTGCGTATTGTGGTCAGTTGCTTTTAAACTGGCATTGATATATTGGCTTGGGATACCTCCTTCGAATAGACTCGGAACAACTAAACACCAGGCTAAATGTATTGCCACGGTATTCTATTTAGTGTAGTAACCTCAAAGAATGGCTGTGTACAAATTACCAATATGACTTATCAGTTTTTCAACTAATGAAGAAAGTTTGTGACTCAGGTGGATGTGAACAAAGCAAGAACTACAGTTTTAGCAGAATAAAATGGTACCATCTTTTATTTCGTTGCCTTCTCGTCAGCTGCTTACATGGCAAAGACATTATTAAATATATCTACAACAACAATTTTAACATACTTGCACAGAGTTAAGTTTAAACAAAAATCAATCGATCAGTATACTCATACACTAAAATATATATACATATATAAATATGCAATATTAACCACTATTCCGAACAATAATAATCAAACACAATGGAAACTTTTAGCATTTCACATTCGGAGGAAAGAGAGGTGAAATTATCCAGTTACCAGGCAGGGCAAAGAAAGACTGATAACCGCTTCTTTCTGAACGCATAAATCAGGTTTCAGGCGCTTGATGGAAATGGCTTCAGCAAACTTAAGGAGAATTGAGCTATTTTGCTTATTGATAATTTTGAACCTGACTTTTCGACGTCCACCTCATGACCCGTGTCGAGGAGATGCCTGGCGATGGCACTTTTTAAAGCATTTGTTTCCTTTAGACATAAGCTTTTTGGTACATGTTCAGAAAATCGTAGATATGCCCTTCTTTCTGTCCTTCCAATGTTACTGCTACCGCAGATATATGTAAATTTGTATATACAGTTGGAGTTAACATGAGATTTTTCATTGCACCAAAGAGCGATTTGTTGGATAGACGGGAACGAGCTTAGTTTCAGGATAGGCTATGGTTAGTGATGTACTCAGTCTTCTGTTGATCATCGCTGCAATATTTTCACCTTTATAATCAAGCTGAACGTAGACTGGCTTTTTTCCCACTGTGATTTGTTTTACATTTGTGACTTCAGATCTTCCATACTTGTTGATGAACCTTTGAGGATACCCATTTCTCTTCAATATCTTTTCAAGTAACTCAAACTCCTCCTCTAGTTTCTCTATAGAGCATATTCTCCTCGCTCTATAGTACAGAGTCTTGACTAGACCACGTTTAAAGATATTTGGACAAAAGCTATTAAAATCTAAGTATTGTCCTTTCCATGTAGGCTTTCGATAAATTGACTTTTGAAGACTACCGTCTTCTAGGCGTTCCATGGCAATGTCTAGGAAGTGAAACTTTCCGTCACTTTCATGTTCCACAGTGAAGTCAATATTGGCGTGTGCACTGTTGAATAATCTTAGTAAGTGTGAAGCATGACTTTTATTTTTGCACACTATAAATGTGTCATCAACATAACGACAGTAGGAAGATGTTTCGTCGATTGCATGCTTCAACTTTGTTCTTTCAAGGTTAGACATGAATATATCTGCTAAAACAGGGCTAAGTGGACTGCCCATAGCTACGATGAGGTTTGAGAATTTCTCATCTTTCCTGGTGACCGTCGGCCTGCAAAATTTGGGCTACCGATATACATGCTGAAAATTCCATACTTGTACCAAAAATACAGTGTGGAATCAAGCTGTAATCAAAAATAAAAAAAAACAAAAAAATATGTGAATGGATGATCAAAGAGTTTGTTGGCTATCTTCTTACAGAATGGGTTCATGCGGTCATAGAGGTTTAAAAGTTCCTGTCAATCAATCATTATTCAACGAGTTGATCGTATGCTTTCTAACTGAAATACTCACTTAAACAAGTTTGGGCAACTAGCTGTTAACTGTATAATGTCACTGACTTTGTGTTATTCATTTTATTCTCTTTAAAAACAAACAAACAAATCAACCGATCGATCGATGAATCAATCAATTAATCGATCAATCAAATAGTTTTACTGGTAAACGTCATTCCCTTTGTGATCTAGACACATCAGAAACACGAAAACGTAAGAAAAAGACAAATGTTGTAGATGCAGATGACAATGATTGGTTAGTTATAGACGAAAAGCCAACTGGATCTAGATCTGTGTCAAATGCAAATGTCAAGGGTCATTTTGAAACGTTGAGTGTGAAACGTGGTAAATCGAAATGTAAGTTGTTATTATTATCATTATTATTATTATTACTATTTTTTGATGTAAAACTAGTAATACTCTATACCTCTATTTCTACCCTTCTCGGTAGTTCACTTTAGGAGAGTAATTTCGTTACTAAAACGGTATAAAGTTGTGTGTATTATCAGCAACGTGAAAGGTTCACTTTTCAGTCGTTTGGTTTACATGTCTGCATTTCTTCATGTTTCATCAGGCTATCAACCATTCCTATTGTGAGTGAGCTGATGATATACGAACCATCCACGCAGTCTGAAGTAGTTGGAGCGGGACTCGAATCAATTGTCTATAAGGCGAGTGCTTAAGTCAATGAACCACATCTCCACGTAGTATTATGATACGTCATTAAGTAAACAAGCACCTGTCTGTCTGTTTTCGACATAGAACTTTGCACATATGTGCGGAAGTTCAAGTCACCACACTCCATGCAGCACATAAAGCAAGAGAAGAAAATAGAAAAAATGCATATTAGAGACAGTAAACAGAGGTGTGAGACAAAGGAATAGTAATAACGAAGAACAATGTAGTTTCATTGGATATCATAAGTCACAAGGAGTGGATGCATCTGCATCAGCCATTCAGAACGATTTTCAGCCATACCACCGATTATTTCCACCTCTGGGTTTTTACCGTCCTGAGGACCCCAACCAGCCAGTCAGGAAGTCTACACCTTCCTACGTGGCTGGCTTAAACTAACTGTTGTGGATTTCATTGACTGGTGAAGCCATGTTCTGGTTTGACCACCGCCAGTTCTTTTCCAGCCTGATCCTATGTCAGCTAACATTGCCCATCGAGGAAGGCGATGACTAGACGTACATGCGTGACACATTCCCTAATCATCTCAGTAGGTGTAACTTCACCACCTGATCGACTGATTTCTCTTCCTTACCTAGCACTCGACCGATGGCTAACCTCAATATTGCTCACCTTCTTATACCACTTCACACGGGAGATAGAGCGCAGTCACCTATGATCGAAGACAGCGAATCTTTTCATGTCTTCCACTCTCAGTTGCCAGGTCTCACTGACAGCCATAAAGAAGAACGGAGCGAACTGCTGAGTAGTATACCCGCCCTTTGGTCGATAGCTAACTGGATATCACATCTACGCCACAGACGGCGTAAACTGGAATATGCGAAACTAGCCCTCTGTATCCGTGGTGAGATTTCGTCAGAGATCAACCCGTTGGCACTGGCTGATGCAACTTCCAAAATAAGTGAAGAGGTCAGCACACTCTGCCACTACACTCCCTATTTCTAAACTAGGAGTCAGTGTAGTCCAGTCCTGTAACATCATCTTGTATTAGGCGGGAGCGAATCGCATGCCAAGCATTCGTAGATTGCAGCTCAGTGTGTTCAGATGACTCTGCATTTTGTCAGCGTCCTCGTCTACATATTCTAAGTCAACGAGATTATTCATACCCTGGTAGCAAGTCAATCCCTGAGTCGCTGAAGTGAGTTAGGGTTAAGTCCATTAGTACATCCATCTATGATGAAGTTGAATAGAAATGGGGATAATGGGCATCCTTGACGGACACCACTGGTCGTCGCCATTTCAGATGAGAACTCTCCGTAAACCCTAACCTGGCTGCATAAGTTCGAGTAGAGTACCTTGATCAGTGCAGTGTATTTCCTCTGTATTCACTTTACAGCCAACCAACGTCAGAGTGTGTTATCACTTACAGTAGAATTATGTTAACTAACCAGTCGATGTAAGTTGAGCTTGTGTACGGAAGTGAAATTAACCAATTGACATTTAGAGTGATTATTCTGAAGACCATCCAGCACAACGTATTAATGTTTTTCTCTATTTCTCATTGTTACAACCATTCATAATTATGTTTCGTGAGTCGTCACCAAATGTTTTCAGGCACATTTCTTGGTTGACTAACAACTTTTACTGGTGCAAATAGCTTTGCGTCACCTAAAGTACTATAAGTTGTTGTCTCACTTGAAGATATTTCGGATGAAGCGAAAATATTATGCAATCAATTACCCTGAAAATTTTCTATATTGTTCAACATTTTTTGTGCAAATAATTGTTATTATCACTAAAGCTAGCGTAATGTTATTCCTTAAAACAATTCAATTAGTGGATCTGGAACACCAGTGGAAGAAAAGAAAAGAACTGTTTAGTCGAATTGTCGAGGTGTGTGTGTGAGTAACACTGTGTAAAGTTACTTTTCTTTTTCTTAGGTTTATGCAACTCATATTGTCTAATTTATTCGAAGGCGTAACCATAGAGTCTGTAAGATACTTACCTGAACATCAGTTGCACACACACACACGAGGGTTTCTTCTTGGTTGTTTTTATTGAGTGTTCTTTGCATCATCTTGTAATCAGAGAATAAAAGATCTAGTAATCAGTACACTGATCGCTGATAGCAATTTTATTTTTTAAAGGCTTTTCGTCTTTTGAACAACATGAAAGGTGTATTCTTTCCTTCACACAGCGCTTGCTTTTTATCCGTATGAAACACATTATTGTACTGTACTGTACTATACTGTGCAACTGATTGTCGATTGCACACTAGTCGGTAACTAGTGTAATGTGTCTAGTCCTATCTTCACTGCAGACTGAATTCTATCAGTCAAGGTTGCAATGTGGCCACCATGCTACTAGGTAGCTCGCCATTACGGTGCACAGTGATTTGATGATATTAGATAGTTGGAGGCAATCGACCACAGGAAGCCTTGCCCGGACCTAGGTTTCGTGCTAGTTGGCACTCATACCAGCCAATCAGCAAGGCGTATCTGCAACCTCGAAGGAACTCATATCCCTCCTTCTGAGATTCGAACCTGCGTCACCCAGTGCCGCCTGCAAGCAGAGACGTTACCACTGAACTATTCAGGCTCGCGATTGACCTCCTGTGTCCAATACAGTCCTACAGAAGCTCAACTGCTAGTCTGACGCAAGTTCGAATCTCAGAAGGGACATGAATTCCTTCAAGGTTTCAGATACGCCTTGCTGATGGGTGCCAACTAGCACGAAATCTAGGTCAAGCGAGGCTTCCTGTGGTTGATTGCCCCAACCATCGAATACCAACTGTACAACTTAGCTCATCAACTACAACAGAAGTCCAACTGCTTTCCGGTTGATTATTAGAGATAACTCTAATTCTACTGGTTGAGTATCTGTTCTTACTTTCACAGTTCTGTTGGTGAGTTTTTTCTGTCTCCTGATATATATGTCCATATCTTTGTTGTTTTGTTTTTTCAAATTTTAGCTACTGTTTCTGACAAAAATCAATCTCAGGAAGAAGTGATTGAGTTCTCACCTCATCTAGCCTTTACTTCTACACAAAATGAAAATGTATCAGCACAACCAACGGCCAATAATCGTGTACATTCACTGAAATCCACTTCTACACCAATTAAAGACAAAAAGATTTGAATCAATCTCATCATCGGGTAATAAAGGACTCTTCTACCTCTCATGACAAGGTTAATTCGAATAATAGTAATAATATTAATAATAATCCTGTGCTGATTGGATCTGGCGATCAGCTGATGCAAGCGGCGAAATTTCCAGTTAATGAATGTTCAGGTAAGACATTATTAGATGCATAGATTTATTTTGTATACATGTTGTAATATTCAAAATTAAATTGTATCTAAATATGTTCAGTAGATTACATCAACCAAAGTAGTATTACCTAAAGATTTCTGCAATAAAGGAAGACGTCACTTGTCTAATCGCAGATGACATATGTCTAAAGTCATACAAACTTGAAGACTTACAGGCAGGCGAAAACCATTTCGGATTGTGAGGGCGTTTGTTACTTCCCGGCTGCCCACACCGTGGAAGTTGGTTGCGTGACCGCAGAGCCCAGGGGACAACTGCTTGAGGCCGGTCACACGCGGCCTGTTTTTGTTTGTTCTCTTTTGTTTGGTGTGTCTCAGTAGCATACTTATCACTCCTGCCCTGTGACATGGCAGCAGGAAGCGCGGTCGTTGTTAATCCGGGCCACGGCCGATCCGGCATGAAATTTTGTGAATTTGTTTGAATCATGGTAATGGATTGGGTAGCTGCTTTTTGTTTAACCAGAACGTGGCAACTCGAACTGCTGCACTTCGGTGCCAAGTTCTATGTTGAATCCAGACAGACAGACTGTTATGTACTAGTTTTCCCCGTCGCCAAATTGTTATGTACTCGTCGCTAAATTATTGTTATGGACTGGTCGAGAAACTAATAGTCCTGACGCAAGAAGGCGGAAATAAGAAGACCACTAGGTTTGCGATGATACTTCTATTTTCCAAACACAAGGAGAATGCAATAAGTGGTATCACACCAAAGTGTAAGTAAGTAAGTCAGTCACACAAATTGTGAGAGCGAAATATATATGACAGGGGTGTGAACAATCACTAGACAGTCTTAACATGAATGGCTAATTATAATGAAGTATCGATCCATATATACATAGCAAATATAGCAGACATGTCAACAACTACCATACATGGATATGTGTCACCAAGCAACGGACTGTCAACAAACACTCATATTATATTAATATAAGGGGTATATACATTGTTAAAGGAGACAAGTTCATACCAGTGAAATGGTCACAGGCTAAGCGAGCAAACAGAAAGAGAGACCAACATACACACACACACATAAATATATATATGTGGATACATATCACAGACAGACAGGCGAAAACCAACAAATTGACTAAAGAGGTCAGCAGTGAAGACAGAACTCCAGGCGAACTTAGAGAGAGGACGGAGGTTTGGTGACGATCACCAGCCAACCAATAACAACAACAACAACCAGCATCAGTCCCCATCAACGAAAGAGACTTAACAGAGAATACCTCCTGGCTTCACTTATCTAGGAAGCATCGTCTAAACTACAGGCAGTCGGAATGGATGAAGATGTCAAAGCCAGTCGTCAGACAGAATCGGAAAAGCAAGATTACGCACACGCCTTCATTAAACCTGAAACCAGTTTGGGAATCTTCTGCATTCCACCTGGGATTTTCAACACAGATATCAAAATCAATCACTTCTTCTATAAAGGTCAAAGACTTAGCCCCAGAGTGTCATGAAAAGGGATTTCCAACAGACCACGTCAAACTTTTATCAACAGCTGCCTTCGCTGACTGCATACTAAAGATTATAAATGGCCAACCAGAAAGAATTACTAGTAAGAAACTGTGGGAACAAACAGCCGAGAACCTAACCCTCAACAAATATGTAGAAGAAAATAGAGAGATAAATGAAGCGCATACATTGAGGAGACCGTCGAACGACATCGTGCTCTGTGCACGTCATCGCTCGGGTGGAATCCGAATGGGAAGCGACAAGTGGGTCGTCGATACGATGGGTGATATGACGGCGGAGTTCGTGTGAGAAGGAGATGGGAGAGTTTGGTAAACGTGGACTCAGCTGGAAGAAAGGGCGGCAGAAAACAGAACAAAGTGGAGATGTGTTGTTGAAGCCTTGTTTTCCGCTCAGCACCCAAGGGTATAATAATATATATATATAATCTAATTCACATTCATTTGAATTACAGAAGTATATGAGACAACTGTTGACTGAGTCACTCCCTCACTGAGATCAAAAAAATTCCTGTTGACATAGGAGTAGAGTATGAACATGATATGTATTGATATGGTATGTATTTATGTGTGTGTGTGTATGTTGGTCTCCCTTTCTGTTTGCTCGCTTAGTCTGTGACCATTTCCCTTGTATGAACTTGTCTCCTTTACCAATGTATATTCTCCTTATATTATATTATATATAATATGAGTGTTTGTTGACAGTCCGTTGCTTGGTGACATATATCCATATTATGTGTGGTTGTTGACATGTCTGCCATATTTCGCTATGTATATTTGGATCGATATTCCATTATAATTAGCCATTCATGTTAAGACTGTCTAATGATTGTTCACACCCTTGTCATATATATTTCGCTCACACAATTTGTGTGAACTACCTTACTTTACTTACTTACCACTTTGGTGTGAGACCATTTATTTTCGTCTCCTTGTGTTTGGAAAATAGAAGTATCATTGCAAACCTAGTGGTCTTCTGATTTCCGCCTTCTTGCGTCAGGACTATTAATTTCTCGACCAGTCCATAACAATAACTTAGCGACGAGTACATAACAGAACATTTCTTCAGTTGTTCTCTCACGTGAATGTATTAAATCAACAATTATGCAGTTATGTGTTATACTAAATAAGTCCTCTAAAATCATTTCTCTAAGACTAATCCTACCAATGAAATTGTTGAGTACACCGGGTAAACTTTGAAAATGAATATGCTCTAAAGTGTTTGAACCCAGAGAATTACTTGTATTGATACTTGAAAAACCTGTCTTACTCGTGCAACTCAGATATGTCACTATTCACGAATGGGTGTACTGCTGAATAGTGTACATGTTTGTATTTTTAAAGATTCCTCTACGTTCCCAGTGGTTTCAAGCTAGAGTTTTGAAGTTTCGGTAGTAGTGGTGTTTATTTTTACAGGATGGGGTTGCTAGCCAGCCTCAAGCCCAACCTTCCCTCTTTACCGGTCTTACTACTGGCTTAGTGAGGTAAACGAATGCATCGGTGACCGGGGATCGAATTGAGAACCACATGAGGCGTGGTTGACAAGCACTCTGCCACCGACGACCAAAATATGTACATGTAATTCATCAAAATGGTGGTTAGGTGTACTTTTTTTTGTAAGAATGGAAGGTTCATCAATAGTCTTTCAAAACTTTATTGGATCGAGTCGTTGAAACGGAAGCTATGCATATCTTTATCCTTCTTGTACATCGACTCGTTATCTAGAATGGAATAAAATGTGGCAAAAGAAGCCTGATCATTATAAATACACTGTACCAATCCATGAAACCACTGACACTGTGGTGAGAGCTGACTCCAAATCGGGGTCATGAGAAAAAACAAGAACAAAGATTAACCTTAAGAAATTCAACAGCCAATCACGGCAGACTTAGCGTGGGTGGATGAAATTCGCAGATATATGGTCTAACCTTCAAAGGAATGGCCACAAAGAGACGACTGATTCACTTTCAGCGAGAAAACAACCAATCAGAAGACACTGTTTCTCTGCTAATAATAACGAATAATAATAATAATAATGTACATGAAAATCTATAAATATCTGTTGATTTTATATTGGTTTGTTTATAAGATGCATGACACAGTGAAACAGTATTACTATTTACTGGATGACAAAATTTCCAACAAAATTTATTCCTCGTAATCATATCATCAATTACAATCACACGAATTCGAAACCTAAGTTTTATAGTTTTCTTTGTTCCCTCTTATTTGTCGTCTTGGGGTAGTAGAATTTTCTAGATATCTGGGTGGACAGGTGTTGAATCATTCATTCCTTTTACGCGTATTTGCAGTTGATTCTATGAACAAATATTCTGTTGTCAATCTCACCTTCCACCCTGCCACAACATTAGATTTTGAAACTGTCATCTTATCCCATCTATCCTATTGTATGGTTGTGGGTAATTGCATATAGTGAGTGCTATCTACGACTGAAGTATTCTCTAGATTTTTTATCTTATTCGGTGAAATAATCTAGTTTTGGTTTGGTTTTAATTCTCAGCTAATCTGATTGACCCTATTCTACTACTTTGACCTATGTATTTGACCTGACAGTGCTTGCAGGCGGGGTATTAGATAAACCAAATTGCTTTGTTGAATGGGGTGTCCCACTGGATTCTTTAACCGACAAAGCTTGTTTCTAATTGAGTTTGTGGATGGTTTGAACGCCAACCACTTTTATTCCTGCCTGTCTTGTTAAGAATTCTACATAAGGTTTCCGAGGTTCCTTCTTTGTATGGAATTACTTCTGATTATTTAGATTCCTTATTGTTGGTGTTGTCACTATGCTGCGCATCTTTGACATGCATGCCGTCATCAATATTACTATTATTATTTATTTAATAATAATAATAATTTACTTTATTCCGAAACAGTACTTGTGATACAGAATGGAATTCTCAGCACCTTACTACAGTATTGCGTCCAGTTAGTACATATTATCTATAAACAAAATTCTACGTAGATTAAGGAAACCTCAGTTCATTATGGCAACAGCATATTCGCATGTTGGTAGCTAAGCCAAAATTGAACAGTGTTTGAAGGTGTTAAAAGAGTAGATACTAGCATATTTACTGGGGTAAGCGGAAGAAAGAAACAAAGCAGCACATAACAGAAAAAAGAGAGAGAAAAGGAAAAGAAAGAAAACGTTGTACCTATAAATGATATGAGTTGGAAAGACGAGATCCAGTTGTTCTACTGACTATTTAATAAGTTATAGGTATCACGCCTAATGCTTAATTTATTGCACAGAACACGAGCTAAGTAGGGGTATGGTTGAGGTTTTGTACTTTCTAGTGCGATCATATAGTTTTCTATATAGGCTTCTGGTTCTGTCTGAAGAGATACAGGGGGAGAGTCGTGAACGAAGAGGGTGGTGTGAATTAGATAGAATTGATTTAGTCCATTTTTCATATGAGTCTAAGTGCCTGTCGACCAGAATATTAACAAGCTGGTTAAGTGGCACATTGCTTACCCTGCTGACAACCTTTAACATCCTGCGTAATAGGGTATAGTCTTTCTTCAGTAGCCAGCCCTGGAAAAACTAAGGGGGGACAATAGAGAATAATAGGCAGAATGCGAGAGTTAACGAATTGTAGGAGTAAGGGTTGGGTTATACCAGAATGTCTTAACTTCTTGGTGTAGAAGGCAAGACGGAATATTTTCTTAGAAATCATCAAGATATGAAACGACCAGGAAAGATCAGCAGATAGAATGACGCCAAGATGTTTAATTTCCGACTTGGTTTCTGTTTAAGTGCCATCTATGTTGCACACCTTGCGAGTGCTAACTAGTTTATTTAGGTCAGATTTATGCCTCAAGGTGAAATTGACTGTTTGGCATTTAGAGGGATTTAAGGTAAGATCGTTTTCCTCTGACATTGACTGATTTCTGATAAAAAGCCATTTAGTTTAGAACAGTCATTTTAACAGTCGACAGTAAAAGATACAGTCAGGTATTCAAAATATTTGACAAAATTAATTTCATTTGAAGATGGTAGGTCGTGTAGAAAGAATGAAAAGAGAAGTGGGGAGAGTACAGCACCTTGGAGGACACCAGCTTCAGCGAGCACAACAGAGGAGGATTTGCCTTTGTATTATTATTATCATTATTATCACTATCACTACTATCATTATTTATTTTATTTTTACTTTTACATTTCCCTACATACCTTCTGACTTATTTACCAGGATAGTAATTAAGTTTCAAGGCTTCTTTAACGTGTATCACTTCCTGTCTTAGATTTTCCTTGGTACTACTTAGTTTTTGTGCTCTGTCACTTAAACATTCCACCAATCCCATTTTCACTGGCATCGAGGCATTTAGAAAACTCTAGCTCTGAAAGTTAAAACTATGCCTTATAATTCTTGATATAATTTTTGAAGTGATAGGATTGCTTCACATTCATTATTCACACATTCACTACTGCGCCACTCTCATCAGTATTTTTTCTTTCAGAGAATTTTATTTTATGCGAGTAAAATTTGTTGGTGGTGCGCTAATAATAATAATAATATAAATTTACTCATTTACTTGTTTGTTTATTGTAATTTTTTTCCTAGGAGCGTCTCATTCAATTAAAGTAGCATTTCCTGATATATCTGTACTGGTTCCAGTTGACTCATTGTAAGTTCTGTGTGTTATCTGTTTCTATGAGTGACATTTTTCTTTTTTTTTTAAAAAAAGCGTTTATTTTTTTGTTTCAAACAATTGACTAATTTTCAAATAATGAGTGTAAAACTTACTTTGTCTACTGGACTGACTGACTTCACCATTAAACTTTGCACAAATGTGCAGCAGTTCGAGTTTCCACACTGCCTCTTTGTAGCACACAAAGCATGAGAAGACGATGAAGAGAGATTCATTAACAGATAGATGATAAGTGAGGGAAAAAGACTAGCGTTACGAGAGAACAATAGAGTTTCATTGGATACGACAAATCACAAAGAGTGAATGCATCTGCGCCAGCCATTGAGAACGATGATTTTGCGTCAGCCATCTCACCAATTGTCTCCAGCTTTCATTGATTCTCACTATCCTGAACACCTCAACCACGAAGACAGCCTACACCCCTCCCTACATGGCTAACTGCCTGACTGGCTAGCATAAACGAACTGGGCGAAGTTAAACTTTCGACACCACTAACAACCAATCAGCGAATTATCCAATGGGATTCACGAACGATGTCGAATTATCCAATGAGATTCACGAACGCAGTTCAATGCTGTAGAGCGCTTGATTCTTTTCTAATGCGTGACCTTACAAGATTACGGCTGCAATTCGAGGAGTACAGTGTTTTCCAGTATTGCCTGGATTTAGGGTTGCTCCGGAAGGAGCGAACTTGTTCGTGTGTTGGCATCATGACTTTAAAAAGCTATAGCAGATCAACTGATGGGTTTGTTCATCGTTGTGCTATGTGTTTGAAGCGTGCTAACATTAAAGCGGATAAGCTGATAATTTTTAATATTTCGTAGGAACTTTTTTCGCTAGGTCACATCTCTCCCTAACCCAGAGTTTGTACATCTGCAACTACTGGATGTTGAAACAGCCGGTGAGAGCAGCAGCTGCCGAGACTGAGAATAGTCTCGTCTCAACAGTTTAGTGGTACCAGCATTGCAGAGATATTGCTTCGTGTAAAATAGGGAAAATCACTTGTTCGCTGGGTGGATCCCGTTACGAGGACTCATGCGAATTCCATTGAAGGTTTTTGGGGCCGCTTGAAAAACAAGATAAGGGCTATAAATGGATCTCAAAAGGATCTCATTTACCGGCATTCAGATGAATATAAGTACACGATGTGATGTGACTTCTCCATTGACAGTCTTATGCTAAACTGGGAGATGTTTCTCTCACATGTTCGAGAAAGATACCCCTTGTAACCTTTTTATCCTTTTTTATGCTTTCTTCTATAAATATACATTTCCATTCGTCATATATGCCTATTTAAAATGATTGGTCCGTTCAAGGTCGTTCGCTGATTGGTTGTTAGTGGTGTCGAAAGTTTAACTTTGCCACGAACTGTTATGGATTTGATTGACTGATGAAGCCATGTTATGGTTTGGCCACCACTAGATGGCACTTTTCCGAATTTATTCATCCTATCTCAGTCAGCTAAGATTGCCTGTCGTCAAGGTAGGTGATGGCTAAGGTAGGCATGAGTAACACATTTTCTAAGCATCTCAATCGATATACCTTCACAAGCGCTGGTTGATTGATTTCCCCTTCTTACGCTTGCATTATAAAGCTCATTGGAATAATAATGTACAAATTTTGATGTAATTTCCCAAAGGAATTTAAAGGTTGTTGAATTACTGTTATACCACTAACATACTACCAACTTTGTGTGAAAATCTCCCGCTGTTTTTTTCTAACGTTTATTGCATTCTTAAGTTCATATAACAATATACAGTAGCGTCAATGTCGGTCCTAATTTATACAGAGTAATCTTTCTATTGATATAAGTATAAAACTTGGACACTGCGATGGTAGAGAGTATAACTCCATTATGGATAAGATTTTATTTTGATAAACTGTCACACAGTGTTACACAGTAATATTAACCCATGACCACAGTTCGAGTACAAACTATCACTGTTCATAATCATATCAACTTTTTAACTTCATTTATATACATGTGTGGAATTGACCAGATTTTTAAATAAAAATCAATTCACGATAAAGTACATTCAGAAATAATAATAATAATAATATGAGTGTTATTGACCAATTATAATCAAATGGGAAATAAGACGAGTGTTTTTATAGTCATAATAAATAACACTCAGCAATTGCACTGCATGCATTAACACACAACCACACAATAGGTTGGAAGAGGGTTAAGATTTTAAGAAGTAATCTATATAGGTGGAGAGATAGAGTGATTACTGAATCTTGTATGGTTCATCGAGTGTACACTCAACACATGCAACAGGAATGATTCAAGGCGGCAAATACCAGAAATATTGAAGATATTATTACCACTAGTTAGTCAAATCAGAGGAGGATAATAAATAATCTCAAAATTCTATTTCAATTCACGTACAACATAACATTCTAACAAGTTACTTATTTATTTGACTATAAAAACACGTATTATTTCAGGATTTCATCATGAGCTGACATTAGTTAGAGAACCATTGGAAAACCTGGGAGTACTGGACAGCTGTTTCGTCCTAGTTTGGGACTCTTCAGCAGTACGCACCCACCGCCACAATTTGAACCCAGGACCTTCCGGTTACAAGGCGAGCTCTTATACCATTAAGCCACTGGGACCCTATCCAATGGTCCTTGAATTCCAACTTCTGCCAATTCACGACATAGCGCGACCGCTAGCCAATGTCTTCGGCGAGTATTTGTCCTCACACCCGACCAGCTGCACCCTACTGGTCACGACTTCCCACTGGAACCCAGGTAACTACCTACCTGAATAGGGCCAGTCGCCAGTGAGCATCTCATTGGTATTCAAGTGTTGGTTATTATTATTATTATTTCCTATCTGATTGTAATTGATCAATAACACTCATATATTTTGTTATTTCTCAATGAACATTATCACATATTGACTTTTATTCAAATATCTGGTCAATTTCCACACATGTATAGAAATGAAGTGTGAAAGTTGTGTGAGTGAGTGACTTGATATGATGATTATGAGTGGCACTAGTTTGTACTCGAACTGTGGTGATCAGTTAATATTACTGTAGAACACTGTGTGATTTATCAAAATAAAATCTTATCTATAATCGAGTAATTTTTCTATATTTTGTCAATTTTTTCTTATAAATTCTTTAAAATAATCCCAGCTTGTTTAGAAAAAAAGTCAAAACAAGATCTCTTTTCTGATTGTTTCGCTGAATAGGCCGCCACAGCTTCTTCAGCAGCAGAATTATTCGCATTTTGATCACCATCACAATGTATACTTAATCAGAAATTAGATAAATTGAAATCAGTTCCTTTGGAAGTCACTTATCCGTAGACATTCGTGTCAATCGCAACATGTAAAAAAAAGTCATCACTTACTCGTAGATACTGATGTCGTGTCGTCATATAGGCATATTTACCTGTATGTGTGTGAGAGAGGGTGTATGTTGTTTGTTGTAAGATCAACAGGTCAAAGCATGATAATATTTCACAGTGGTTATGATATAGGATTGAATTTTTCTCCCTCATCTGTTCTACCTCATAAGGATCTGCCATATAGGGGATAAGTCTATCCCTTCTCCCCTATTTACTGCATTCGATGTGGTCAAAATGTGCAAGGCTTCAGAGGTTAACCTTTCTTTTAATGTGAATGAAAGCCTCTTCCTAGAATTTCGGCATTGTCGAAACCAATCTTATGTCCGTTGTCTATCGCGTGCACTGCTATAGCCGATCTTTTTTTTCCCTAGACTTTTGAATTCTACTTCATTTCCAAGGTGGACGTTTTGTGCATAGTCTATGTTCATTCACTTTAATCTTATCCTGCCTACTGCTCTCTCTCTTCCCATATATAGTAAGCTTCACATTCTGAACACTTTATCTTATAGACACAATTACTTTGTGACATTTTGGGAAGCATATCTTTGACCTTCATCAAAGCTCTCTCTCTCTCTAGGAGAGAGCAGTTGACAAGTGAAGATCAGAGTAAATGAAGATAGACTGTGCACAAAACGTCGTCCGCCTAGAAAGGAAGTAGAATTAAAAAGTTTAAATTAAAAAAGATCAGTTATATCAATGCATGCTATCTATGGACAGCGGATATACGACTGACCTCGACACTATGACTGAAAACTTATAAAACTAACTTTTATTTTTCTTCAAATTAATTTTTCTAAAAGATCACGTAGTGTTTCATGGTTAGCTACAGAAGCCTATCGTCGACGTCAAATTCTAATGGGGCTTAATACAAATACTCCGTCGGCGGATTACAGTGAATTAGTTCGTTTAAGTACTCGTGATAGAGCCTTACTTCTTCCATCGGATCGTTTATATGCCGTTATTCCAAATCTAAGTCAATCTGGATGTATTGTTGAACTTCTTGCTGAAATGAATGAATCAATCGGGAAACATGCATTAACTTCTAGCAGTAGTCAATCAAATCAACCTGCACAATTCCCTCATCCTGTTGTGTATTCATCACAGCTGAATTATGGTTAGTTTTGCACCGTTATTTCTCTCCCTCTCTCTCTTTCTCTTTTTTGCTACGTCTTTTTTCCCCTCAAAAATGTCGTACATGTATCCAGGTACGTACGTTTTGCACACGTCATCTTCAACCTGAACTGTCTTCTATCTGGCTGGACCAGACAGACAGACAGTGAATTCGGTCGGGTTGAAGTGAGCAGTCTCAGTGTGAGTACCACCGCTTTCTGTCTGTCTGGTCTCAGCATAGAACTTCGCACTGGTGTGAAGCAGTTCCAGTCGCCACACTCCACTCAGAACACAAAGTCAGAGAAGAAAGTAAAAATAAACGCAAAATTGAGACAGGAAACAGAGATGTAAGGCAAGAAGAATAGTAATAAAGAAGGACAATATAGCTTTATTGGAAATTATAAGTCACACGGAGTGGATGTATCTGCGCTAGCCATTGAGAACAATTTTGAGCCATATCATCAATTGTCTCTAGCTATTGGCTTTTGCCATCCCAAGGACCTTAAACAGGAAGTCTACACCTTCCTACTTGGCTGGATTTCATTGATTGATGAAGCCATGTTTAGGTTTGACCACCAGTGACTCCTTTCCAACTCGACCCTAGGTCGGCTAACATTGCCCCTCGAGGAAGGGGCTTTATAAGTCCGTGATATACCGAAACTTTTATTCTGAATTCCACTGCAATTTGACATTATGCTGACACTCATATATAGTGCAGAGATTTGTTATTGAGATTTCTGTAGCAGTGGTGTTTATTTTACGGGATAGGTTTGGACGACTCATTCTCACACCCACCACCTTCCCTGTTTTCCCGGACTTACTACCGATTAAGGGAGGTAAACAAATGCGTCCGACGGGCGATGGAACCCCGGAAGACTTGCTGCTTGGTTGGCCAGTGTCTTCTGCCGTTACACTACCACTGAACAACTATCGACGCTACTGCTACAGAAACTTGAAAGCTGTAGCTTGAAGACGCACTATTTCCCACTGACGGAACTCAATGGGATAAAAAGAAGATATAAATTGCTATTGATGCAATTGTGATGTTTATTTGACTTAACGTGTGCAAATACGATTCGCAGATGTATGACTTAACTTTTCAAGCAACGATCACAGGCAGTACAGAATAACCTTCAGCAAGTAAATAACCAATCAGAAGACGCTGTTTCTCCGCTGACAATAATGTACATAATAAAAATCTATAAATATCTGTTAATTTTCTCAATAAATGATCTGTTTCTGGCCCTTGTTTTCTGTTGTTACAATAAAAATATAGTGGAATAAGCATCTGTATTAATGCTGAGAATCGTAGTGCTAATCTTATTACGAAAGTGACATGCGTAATTCACCTCTACTATCACAAAAAATTCTAAAACCTATCACTTACAATTGTTCTAAGTGAGGCCTATAAACAACAGAATTTAAGAAATTCAGTTCAGTTTAAAACCTGGGACAGTGTTTGTTAGTTAAATCACTGTAACAGAGAGATTCTTCGGAAAATGCCTCCTGGATGATTTAATCACAATATATATATATATATATATATATATATATATATATACTAATTTGGACGGCTAAACTAACTTTGTAACTATTATTCATTTTCTCCTGGACTGTATATTATTATTTTGACATTTGAAATAAGTTGGCAGGAGACGTTGAGTACTCAAAAACTGAAGGATCAGGCCACAAAGGACGTCTTCGCTGCAATCTTAAGGAAAAAGGCGGAGACACAAATCAACACTAGCGAAGAGACCAGTGTTGAAAACACTGGAACAGTCTGAAAGCGGTGTGGAGTCAAACATGCATGGAAGTTCTAGGCAGAAAGAAGAGAGACGGGATAAACAGTGGCTCACTACGGACACACGGAGACTAATAGAAGAGAAAAGGATGGTGAACGAATGATTATCCAGTTCATTGACGAGCAACAAAAACAGGGGTTGACTGCAAGCTACAATATATTCAACGAAAAAGTAAAGAAACGTGCCGGGGAAGAGAAAAGAAAATATTATGAAGCTATGGCAAGTGAAGCAGAACAAGTTGCAGTGCAGGCCATGGAGACATCGCTACACTCTACCAAACAACTAGGCACCTACCGAGCAAATGTTCAACACAAATTAAGCCAGTGAAGGATGACAGTGGAAAGCCAATCACCTGAGAGGTGGAGCGAAGGAAACTCTGGGCTAAACACTTCAGAGGACTTCTAAATCGACTGCCACCTACAACGCGCCCAACAATACTAACAGCGGAAGCAGAACTACCGGTGGATATCAACCCTCCGACGAGAACAGAAATCCTGAAGGTCATAAAGATGCTAAAAAGTGGAAAAGCAGAAGGACCAGTCGGAATACCCGCGGAAGCATTGAAAGTGGACCCTGAGACATTAGCCATCAGGCCTGATAAAAGCACTACTGGAGGTGCGGAAAGAAGGTATGGTGCCTGTGGATTGGAAGAAAGGCTACTTATTCAAACTGTTAAAGAAAGGGGATTTGAGTGAATGCAAGAACTGACGCGGGATTATGTTCCTGTTGATTGTAAGCGAAATACTAAGCCGCATCATCCTGTAGAGAATCAAATATGCCACCCTGGATGAAAAACTTTGACAGGAACAGGTTGGACTCAGGAGAAACAAGTCATGCATCGATCAAATCTCAACACTACGAATCATCACTGAACAGAGTTTGGAATGGCAGTCACCTCTCTACTTCACTTAACTTCATTGACTTTGAAAAGGCCTTCGACAGCGCAGCGTCAATCGAGAGGTGGTTTGGAAACTACTTCGCTACTACAGTGTACCTCCAACAATTATCCATCTCATCCAACAGTTGTATGACAATCCTCCATGCTAAGTAATCCACAGCAGGAAACTCGCGGAATCCTTTGAAGTGAAGAAGAGAGTAAGAGAATCTGACTGCCTACTATCTCCAATGATTTTCCTGATTGTGGTAGACTGGATAATGCTGTGGCTGTGTGATACAGACAATGTGTGCAATCGGAATATTATTCTCACATATTCCAACAGTTCAATTCGACACTAGCAACAGAATACAAGATATCTATTTGAATAGTCAGTTCGCTGCTAGAAATAGAATACATTTCCCATGGTTATATACTGCATTAACAACAGAATATTATGTGTATTAAAACATTCTATTTTATGTCGTCTGGTGTGAACCGAAATCACACGCTCAACAGTTGGTTGAAGAATAAAAACGGTATATATATATAATCAGCGGTTTGATCAATGAAAAATATACCTTTGCTCGCGTGTCTTGCCTCCCGCTGTCACCACAATGAGACAGACAGCAGGCAACGAGGAGACAGACATTAAGTGGACCCACACAAAAATCCTTCAAGACTCTTGATTTCGCCGACGATATATGTTTCACTTCCCACAAACTGGAAAATATGCAAGTGAAAAGCAACAAGTTGACAGAAGAAGCATTCAGAGAAGATAGGACTACCTTCAGGTGAACACAGAGAAAACAGTGGTGATGAAAATTCCTCACCAGCAGCCACAGAGACAACAATCAGCCAGCATGAATGGGAGGAATCTGAAAGAAGCAACCCTCTTTACCTACCTCGGAGGTGTCGTTTTAACTACAGACGGAACTGATGAGGATATCAAAGCGAGGATTGGGAACGCAAGGCGAGATCAACAGGACTCAGCATGAAAACTTCTATGTGGAGTCAGTGCTCCTACTCGGTTGAGAGATTTGGCGCGTCGCGAAGACCATTTCGAACAAAATACTAACCTTCATCAACAACTTTCCTCGCTCAACACTCAAGATCGGATGGCCAGAAAAGATCAACAACAGCCTAGGAGGAACCGATTGGGCAAGAAATGTAGGTGGATTGGCCATACTGTGAGAAAGCAAACCATCAAGTGACATCACATAATAGTTTTTTGAGTGGAACCTTAATGGGAACCTTAATCGCTTCTCGGCTCTCTGAGCTAAGATCATGTGTAGTATCATCATTAATGAGAAGTGGTGAGTTGGTCATCAGTGCGAGTGTGATATGGAAGAGGGTTCATATGAAGAAGAGGTGAGAGCATATGGTCGGACGTCGAGCCAAATGAAAACTTTGGCGGAGAAGCAAACGGAATGGAGATGTTCGGCTGTGAAGTCTTATGTTCTCATCTCACGGAGGTGTGTAAGAGAGCTTGTAGTGATGTAGATCAATATGTAGGTCGTTTTATGCCCTGCTATGTTGGTATTTCAATACAAAATGGCTTTTGTTTATTTTAGACTTCTTATGCCTCTGTTGATAATAGACGATAATAGATGAAGCAGACTTTTAATTCATTGTTTCCCTTAGATTATCACCGCTAGTGTATTCTATGTTTATCATGAAATCTGTTTCTGAGCACTCTTCATTTGTGTTTTCTCTCTCATACTGCATTTAGAATCAAGACCGAATGAATCACCTAACGAATCACTACCACCATCTTTCTATCGTTTCATTATTGATAAAGCTAGAAGTACAGGTGTTGTGGATCTTTCACATCTTGGCATGGATAATTCAGAGTGTTGTAAATCTTTAGGTTATATCGTCCGTGGTGGGATTCGTGTTATTACAGATATCCAACTTCAAGGTATGTTAATGAAAATAATAATAATAACAATAAATAATTCTTGATTTTATTCATTTCTCAAACTTAACTTATTCGCAGTTCACAATTTGACATATCTAAATTATTGATCATGTCTCTCATTTCACATTTAATTGCTCAGTTTGCATTATTTGTTTGCCTGTAGATGCACTCTTTCATTGTATAATGATACCATAAACCATTCATTGATTGGCAGCCTGCTTAATCCTAGGGCTACCGAAAACCTCCACCAATTATTGCACGTAGTTTATCTTATTCAGGTCCCAGTGCCTGAATAGTCTACGAACTCATCCCACGACTGGGAGTTCCTGTGTTCAAACGCCAGCGGGGGTGTACTGATGAAAAGTCGTAAAGTAGGACGAAGTGGCTGTGCAGCACTGTTGGTTTTTTGTGTGTGGCCGGTTCGGTGGTAGAATGCTCGCCAAACATCCACCCTCCTAGACCTCGATAAACTGATAGTAAGATAAGCAAATAAGGCACGAGGTTAGTAACCTCACCTCGTAAAAATGTTAAAAAAAACCCACTGCCACCGTAACTTCAAAGTTCCAGCCTTAAGCCCTATAATAAATGACCTCTTATAGTAAAGCTTACTCTAGCGAGTATTTAAAACATTTACAACCTGCTGTTTTGCAAGTTTCTACTAAACATGGGAAAAAGCATTATCCTCAATGACAGCTTTTTCCAGGAAGATGAGATGATCGTTCCTGAGTGGTGTCCTTCGTCCACAAAATGTACTCTTGAACATTTTATCATTAGCTTTCATTGAAATATGCACATTAGATCATAGGAATTATTGAAAAAAACGGAAATAATTCTGGAACTTTATCACTCACTATAAATACATAAATGTACAGCCTAGTTGATGGTTTTGTTGAAAGGAAAATTTCCTTTGCTACAACCGTCTCTTTAATATAATAGGTATTGAACCAATAGTGGTAGATTTCTCAAAGGAGAAACGAAGAGATGCCGTCATGGTAAATGGGTTTGCGCTTCAGGTCAGATAGAACTGTATCACACAATCTACTGTCAGTCAATTAATCTTTTATTTGAATATCATGGACAACGAAGGGGAAATATCATGCAATAAACTCCGGCGAAAATTCTGTACATTATGTTTAAACGCTATTCAGAATAAAGCCATTATTGTTATTTTATTCATCAAAGAATTTCCTTTGAAATTTGTGCACTTGTCATATCTTACATTGTCTTTTCTTTACTACTGCTTACCGTTTAAGTAGCAGTGTGGTGAGAGCTGTCTGTCTGCTGACCGAAATTGGTAGACAGCAATTTACGTCAATGTTTACGTCCCATATCTTGGTCATGAGACAAAGAAACAAAGGCTAACTCAACAACCAATCAAAGAAGACTTTGCGTGGGTGGTTACACTTAGCAGTTATATGGTCTGACCTTCAAAGAGATGGCCACAAAAAGATGACAAAATAACCTTCAGCGATAAAACAACCGACGGGAAGACGCTGTTTCTCTGCTAATAATAACAACGCCAATAATAATGAACATAAAAATGTATAAATATATGTTGATTTTCTGAATAAACGATCACAGAAGAGATCTTGTTCCTATCACACATAAAATCTTATGATTTTTTTTATTGTTTCGCTTTCTTTTTTATATATATTTATTAAAAGGTAATTCATTGACAACTGATGTATTGGACATTGAAAATATTTCAACTAATTGTTTTTGTTTAAATCTACTGGGTTATTTAAGTCAAATTTCATCACAATTAATTAAATTAAATCTAAGCATGAATCTATTCAATGGACAGTTTATCAAACGATTATTGAATGGTTTATCAAAACAATTTAAAGAAAATGAAAGGTAAATATTTGTCTGTGTGCATGTGTGTGTTAATTAATTACAAATTATTGCTGAACCCTCCTTTTTTTCCAATGTTGTCGAATTCTTTTTTACTTCACTGTTCACTGTGAAATGAGTCACAGTATCATTGAAAATCAAAAATTTATCGGAACACATGTCCGCATTTAATTGGTGGATGGTGACTAGCGTTGGAATCCAGCCATAATGCGCATTTTGCCCTATTTGGGACTCATCTTGATGTACCTGAGACCGAGCACTTTGGTCCAATCAATCGCCGGGAAAATCTGAAATTCAAGTAAACTTGCCCTGATGTTACGTAATTCTTTATCTACTTTCCCGTTAATTGCTTAAAATGAAGCGCTCGGCCTCTGTTGACTTGTTAACTCCTTATGTAGATGATTCGACTATGTCTGATGATTTTACATAAAACAATTTTGTGGACAGGGTGACCAGCAGCGAAATCTAGTATATGCATTTCGTTCTTTTTTGGGACTCGCCATCTGAGTGAGTGAGTGAGTGAGTGAGTGAGTGAGTGAGTGAGTGAGTGAGTGAGTGAGTGAGTGAGTGAGTGAGTGAGTGAGTGAGTGAGTGAGTGAGTGAGTGAGTGAGTGAGTGAGTGAGTGAGTGAGTGAGTGAGTGAGTGAGTGAGTGAGTGAGTGAGTGAGTGAGTGAGTGAGTGAGTGAGTGAGTGAGTGAGTGAGTGAGTGAGTGAGTGAGTGAGTGAGTGAGTGAGTGAGTGAGTGAGTGAGGGGGGGTGGGGGGGGGGGGGGGGGGGGGGGGGGGGGGGGGGGGGGGGGGGGGGGGGGGGGGGGGGGGGGGGGGGGGGGGGGGGTGAGTGAGTGAGTGAGTGAGTGAGTGACGAGTCCCAAATAAGAAGAATTGCGTATTATCTTGGATTCGATTGCTAGTCAGCATCCACTAAATTACTTCAAAATGTGCAGATGGTTTTCGTTAAGAAATATGATTATTTTCTATATCCTACTTCAGTTTGCAAAAGTTGAGTGATTTTATTGATTAGTCTTCGTACAGATTTCAATGATTCTGCAACTGATATCTGCTCGTTTATGATGAAATCTACATTGCATCTAACCGAACTCCTCGAAAATCCAGAATCTAAATAACAATCTTCTACTTGTTAGTAGCTTTGGGATGGATATCGTGAAGTTCTGCCCGGTGGGGTCCTCCAAGTCGGTTGTGAAGCAGATGTCCATCTGTTGCATTATCCTGCAGTGATGCTTTGTATCGAATCGATAGAAGTTAGGACTTACAGGTGAGTGGATTCCATCGCCCTTGGTCTGGATGGTTAATGGGTTCACCTCATCACTTGAAGGTTTTAGGTTCAATCCATATCGGGATTGTTGGTTCGCGCTGTTGGGGATCTCCGAACTAAGACGAAACAGTTGTGCAGTACTTCTTGGTTTCCAATGATTCTCTAACTGATGTCTATTCGTTTCGGTGAGTCACTGCCTCACTTTCAACCTGCTGTAGCCTACTGGTCACGTCTTCTAACTAGAATTCCCGGCAATCACCTGCCTGAATTGGGTCAGTGGCTAGTGAGCATCAGATCGATTTTCAAGTATTGGTTTTGTAGGGATTGTGTTTGATTGATTCGTTAGAGGATTTCATCATGAGCTAATATTGTAACAACAGAAGACAAGGGCCAGGCAACAGATCGTTTTTATTATGAAAATCAACACGTATTTATATATATTTCACATACATTATTATAGCTTATGCAAGTAGACAAGCGCAGACATCTGATTGGTTGTTTCGGGATTCCTCGACAAATAGAGTTCTCTATCTGCGAATCATATTTCGCCACGTTAACTTTGCTGTGATTCGTTGCTGAATCAGCCTTGCTCATATTTTCTCACGGCCACATCTGACCACAATATCACTTAGAAAACCATTCAAAAACCTGGGAGTACTGGACAGCTGTTTCGTCCTAGTTTGGGACTCTTTATCGGTGCGCACACACCTCCAGGGTTCGAACCCAGGACCGCCTGGTTACAAGGAGAGCTCGTAGACCATTAGGCCACTGGAACCCCATCCAATGGCCAGTCCATGAATTCTAACTTCTGCCAATTCACGACATAGCGCAACCGCTAGCCAATGTCTTTGGCGAGTATTTATCCTCACACCTGACCTGCTGCACCTTAGTGGTCACGACTTCTCACTAGAACCCCAGGTGACTACCTACCTGAATAGGGCCAGTCGCCAGTGAGCATCTCATTGATATTCAAGTATTGGTTTGTTGGGATTTGGTTAATTGGTTACACGATTTCATCATGAGCTGACATTGGTTAGAGAACCATCGGAACCATTGCTCTCCTAGACTAAGTATTTTTTTTTCCTGCAAAAATTTGTTCTATTCCAAGTAACATTCAGTGAACTCGACAACTTTCTTGTTCATATTTCTTATTGATTTCTTTTCTTCTTTGTTCATGTCTTTGTGGGTGTTAATTCAGCCCCCGTGTCCTAATGCCTAGACTTCAATATTTAAATCTAAGTTATAATCCACTTCTTGGTAGTGGTTATAAACATATGGATTTTCATGTCATGAAAACATTTGATCATGAAATAATAATGAATAAAAACTGTACAAACTATTGTTGGACAGAATGCATTAATGACATCTTGAAAGCTTTTCCTAAATTAACTTATTTCAATTTGGCTGGATGTTCATTAGGAAATAGTGCTACAGAGAATTATCAAGATATGCATGGTAGTGGAAAAATTCTCTATAGTATAAATACAGGTGAGTGAATTTTATTTAAATTTTTAAATATAATTGTCTGTCTGTTTTCAACATAGAACTTTGCACAAATGTGCGAAAGTTCAAGTCGCCACATTCCGTGTAGCACGCGAAGCAAGCAAGAGAAGAAAGTACAAGAAAAGCATAATAGAAACAGTGAGCAGAGGTGTGAGACAAAGGAGCAATAAAGAAATACAAAACAGTTTCATTGAAGATCATAAGTCACAGGGAGTGGATGCATCTGCGCCACTGAGAACGGTTTTGAGCCATGTCACCAATTGTTTCCAACCATAGATTTTCACCGTCCCGAGGACCCCAGCCTGGAAGTCTGCACCTTCCTACGTGGCTGGCTTAGACCAACTGTTGTGGATTTCATTGACTGATGCCAAGTTTTTGTTTGACCGCCGCTAGCTTTTTTCCAGCCTGACCCTATATCCGCTAACATTGCTCGTCGAGGGAGGCGATGGCTTGGCATACGTAACACATGTCCTAACCATCTCAGTCTTTGTAGCTTCACGACTTCAATATAATTGTACATATTTCCTTTAAAAGTTTGTTTGTAGATGGACTTGATGTGTTTTCCAAGTTGGATCACGTGGGGAACTACTGAAAATCAGCCATAGGAGGTGCTGGACAGACAGATGTTTCGTCAGCCTAGTTTGGGACCACTCTTCAGCAGCATGCGTCCACCATCAGGATTGGAACCCAGGACTTTGCGTTTACAAAGCAGGGTCGTAGACCATTCCGCCTCTGAGACTTGGATGAATGGCTTCACTGATCGACGGGATTGCATTGAAATCGCAAAGTCCTGGGTTCAAACCGTGGGGGTGGGTGCGTGCAGCCGATGAGTAACAAACTAGACTGACGAAACAACCTGTTGTCTAATATTTCTCTGACTGGTTTTCAATAGTTCTCTAATTGATATCAATCCGTGATCAACCTTGAATTGTGCATACCTTATGTTTTCTTCAAACACGATGGTTGATATGTGTATGCAGACAGTTATCAGTTCATTGTGTGATAATTTAGTAGCAATTTTGGAACATGTTCTTTTCGACCACGACATTGGAACATTCTGTTGGTTCTACCTATATAGGTGTCACCGCAACTGCAGGTGAACTAGTAGATACACTTTGAAGTAGAGTCCACAGAATTTGGTCCTTTAATCATAGGTCTGTACACGGATCGAAAATGTTCGGCAGGTGAGAAAAAGAGATTCGGCGTAGAATGTGCGTTTGATAGCTGACCAAAGTCTTTGAGCTGTTAACTGCATAATCTAGTCGCCCTTGAACGGTAGGTTAATAAAGACAGATAGCTTTCTTTGGTACAGAAGCTGTCTTTTCTAGATGTGGTCTATCCTTACTGTGATAAGTGATGAAGTTCTCTGGATAATCATTAGCTTATAAAACTGAAGGTATATGTCGAAGTTCATCCATCAGTGTGTCACTCGTGCATATTTTTCGGGCCCTTGAGAACAAACATTTCACTAGAGAACGTTTATACTGGATAGGAACAAAACTGGTAAAATGAAGATATTGTCCACTCCATGTCTGTTTACGAAAAATAGATCACTTAATCGTTCCATCATCTCTCTTAGTCATAGTAATATCCAGGAAATCGAGTTTGTTATTCTATCCTAGTTCGGAGGTCACTCGGATATTAGGATCAATATGATTAAATAGAGTAATGAAGTTTTCAATAGATTTACTATTATTACCAATAATAAGAGTATCATCTACATAACGTTTGTACAGCATAAATCCTCCAAGCATACCTTGCATTTGTTTCTCCAATAGACACTTATCTTTGCCTACCATGGACTACATGACATATTGAAATATGATTGATCATTAGTGTGTACTTTTGTGTTTTTATTTAACTGAGTAATTGTCATGAACATTATTTTATTATTGTTAACTATGTTAGTAGTAAAGCGGTTGTAAAGAAATTACGAAATGACCATATTATCTCGCGAAATTTGTCTTCTTAATGCTTTATTCTAATATGTATATATAAATAACGCGATTGTATTGAGATACTGTTAATCTTTTTTCACTATTAAACTTTATCTCTACTCCGCCAACAGATTCCCTTGTATCCTGTTTATCTGAGCTGGATTTAAGCTGGAATCCGCATATATCTCCTAGTCAATTAGTCAGTTTATTTTCTATGAATGCTTTAAAAGCTTTACGATGTCTACGTTTACGAGGATGTTCTACACCGAGTAGTAGTAATGCTAACGCGTTAACACTGAATCAATGCCCAATCAGTTTACCTATTGATTCATTTGAATTATCCTCATTCAACTGGTTATCATCAAATTATGCATCAACAATGTTTACAAAAGAAATGGAAAAGTTAAACAGCTTGGATAAACCATCATCAGGGGATGAATTGTTAAAGGCATTGTGTTCTGTCTTAATAACTGTAAGCTACTTTTTCGGATTTTACACCTTTATTATTAACTGATTAAATTATTATTATTATGGTCTACTTTAATTCCTAGAGAAACATAGGGCTTCAGCCGAACGTCTCCATTCCGTTTGCTTCTCCGCCAACGTTTTCATTTGGCTCCACGTCTGCCCATATGCACTCATCTCTTCTTCACATGACCTCTTCCATATCACACTCGCACCGACGAACAGTTCGCCACTTTCCATTAAGGTTCCACTCAAGAGACTGTTATGTAATGTCACTTGATGATTTGTTTTCTCAGAGTATGGCCAATCCACCTCCACTTCTTCCTGCATATTTGTTGCACAATCAGTTCCTGGTTGGGTTGGTTCACTCCCAGAGATCCCTCTCTGTCGCTGATCTTTTCTGGCCGGCTATCTGATCTTGAGTAGTATTGCGCGAAGACAACTGTTGATGAAAGTCTGTAGTTTGTTCAAAGTGGCCTTCGCTTCGTGACGCGGCTCCTGGTCTCTGATCCGTGTAGCAAAACCTACTTCACATTTGAGTTGAAAATCTGGACCTTACATTTCATGCTGAGTGCTGTTGACCTCCACAAAGATTTGAGAGTAATGAAAGCTTGCCTTGTTTTCCCGATCCTTGCTTTGATATCCTCGTCAGCTCCGACCACCTGTAGTTGAAATGATGCTTCCCAGGTTGGTAGGCAAGTGAAGGAGGTTGTTTCTTTCAGGTTCCTCCCATTCATGCTGGCTGATTGTTGTCTGTTGTTGTTGTGGCTGCTGTTGGTGTTGGCCAGGTATCTTTTCATCACCTCTGTTTTCTCTACGTTCACCTGAAGGAAGTCCTATCTTCTCAGGATGCTTCTTCTGACAACTTGTTGCTTTTCACTTGCATATCTTCCAGTTTGTGGGAAATCAGACATACATATGTCATCGGCAAAGTCCAGATCCTCCAAGATTTTTGTGTGGGTCCAGTTCATGCCTGTTTACTCGCTGACCGCTGTCTGTCGCATTATCCGATCTCCGGTAATCGGGAAAATCATTGGAGATACTAGGCAACCAGCTTGTTTTACTCCCGTCTTCACTTCGAAGGATTCCGTGAGTTTCCCGTTGTGGATTACTTAGCATGCAGCGTTGTCGTATAACTGTTGGATGAGATGTATGATTATATATATATATAACTGTATAGCCTGATGATGAAGCGGTTATCGGAAAATGTATTCTTTGTCCAGTATCCATTTATTATTAGTAATCCACAACGGGAAACTCACGGAATCCTTCGAAGTGAAGACGGGAGTAAAACAAGCTGGCTGCCTAGTATCTCCAATGATTTTCCCGATTACCGGAGATCGGATAATGCGACAGACAGCGGTCAGCGAGTAAACAGGCATGAACTGGACCCACACAAAAATCTTGGAGGATCTGGACTTTGCCGATGACATATGTATGTCTGATTTCCCACAAACTGGAAGATATGCAAGTGAAAAGCAACAAGTTGTCAGAAGAAGCATCCTGAGAAGATAGGACTTCCTTCAGGTGAACGTAGAGAAAACAGAGGTGATGAAAAGATACCTGGCCAACACCAACAGCAGCCACAACAACAACAGACAACAATCAGCCAGCGTAAATGGGAGGAACCTGAAAGAAACAACCTCCTTCACTTGCCTACCAACCTGGGAAGCATCATTTCAACTACAGGTGGTCGGAACTGACGAGGATATCAAAGCAAGGATCGAAGATGAAATTGTGTTAGTCAATGCCTGTCTAGCTTTTGGAGATTTCAGTTTTTGAATAAATCCATGAACTCCTATTCAGGTGTTGGTTTGCAGGAATTTGATTTGCTTCGTTACAGGATTTTATCCTGAGCTGATAACGCTCAAAGAACCGTTGGAAAACCATCAGGGACTATTGGAAATCTGCCTCATCGTAGTTCGGGACTCTTCATCAGTACACACACCCACTGAGATTCGAACCACTTAAACCATTAAGTCACTGGGATACTCTCCAAAGGCTCATAAATTCCAACTTCTGCCAACCCACAATATAGTGCGACCACTAGCAAACGTTGTCGACGAGTGTATGTTCTCGCACCCGACCTGCTGGTCATGGCTACTCACTTAAACGCAAATAACTTCCTACCTGAAAGAAGGACAAAACAGCTGTCCATTACTCCCAGTTTCTCCAATGGTTCTCAAACCGATGTCAGCTCATGATCAAAAATCTTGTTACCAATAAAATTTCATAGTTGCATATCGATAGTGTTTTTCATGTCTTTTATTCTTCCAAATTTTGTTTATATCTATCAAGGGGGAGATTCGTTTGCAAACTCTGGATATGGGACATTGTCAATTAACCTATCATTCATTGACAAGTTTGAAAAGGTATGCTTTATTACTACTGTTATTATTGCCTTTTAAGTATTATAGTATTCATAAGTAATGATGGTTTCAGGTTACACGTGTGCTTAGCATAAGGAACAAGTTTCGCATTTTCAACACCAATGTGAAGCTGGTCAGTGCTTCTACACGGGTCAGAAACTTGGCCAGCCTGTCACGAAAAGGATTTCCAACAGGCCACTGCAGACTTTCATCTAGCAACTTCCACCCCCCCTTCGCTGACTGGCTCCATACTGAAGATCAAATGGCCAGCCGGCCAGAAAGAATAAGCAGGAAGAAATTCTAGCTGGGAATAAACCAACAGGCGAGAGACGATCCCTCAACAAAAATATAAAAGAAAGTGAAGATGAATCGGGCATACACCATTGAGAAGGCCGCCGAATTACATCGCACGCCAGGCCATCGCTTGAGTGGAATCCGAATGGGAAACGACGAGTGCGTCGGTGCGAGGGTGACATGGAGGAGATCGTGTAGAGAGGAGGAGACGAGAGATTGTTGTCAATCGTGGACCTAGTTGACGAGGATGGCAGAAAATAGACGAAAGTGGAGATGTTCCACTCGGAGCGCAATGGAATAATAATTTAAAAAGCAGCGTTCGCAACTATCGATGCTGACGTTAATCACATACTCTCTTTTGTCGCATACGTTGCTTATGGTTGAATAAACGGTATGAAGTCTCAAGGGTAGCTTCTTTACATTCCGTCTGATATCATGTTGTATCCTTCAAGTTGGCCTAGCCCCTATGTCACATTGTTTTCTGTCCCCTTTGATGTTTTCAAGGAGTGATCACTCCCTTGACTGCACATCCGTCTACACTGGGTTACTGCTTTCCTATGAGCATCAGTTATAGGTGCTTAGGAAGATTGAGATAGCCTTGGTTGGGTTAGATAATGATACGGGACTGTACCACACCTACTGGTAGGCTGAAGATCTGGAGTGAAGTGGTCGAGCGTATTGTCCACTTCACGTATTTTAGAAGTTGTATCAGCCCTAATAAAGTGATTGCTGGTGAAATCTCAACAGGCGCACAGAAAGCTTGCGGGGCAGTTTCCAACTTGCGCCATCTGTTGCGCGTAGATATGATATCCGGATTAATTGGTGAATAGTGACTAGCAGTAGAATCCAGGACAACGCAAATTTCATCCTATTTGGGACTCGTCCACTGGATGTACCTGCATCCCCCAGTTAATGAATGATTGTGCTCCCACCGAGACTCGAACCCAGTGTTCATAGTTTCAAACGCCAAGGCGTTATCCACTAGACCACTTGGGCCACGAGAGCCACCTCTTGTGCACTTTGGTCCAATCAATCGACGGGAGAATCTAAAAATTCAATTAAATGATATCCGGATATTAACCAAAGGACACGTGTTTGTTCACTCTGTCCTCCTTTATAGTTGTGATACGTGGCGTTTGAAATGGAAGATATGAAAAAGGCTGATTCGATGTCTCTGATCATGCGTATCTGCCTTCTATCTCGTGTGTTAGGTAGTAGAAGCAGATTGCTGATCGATGATAAAACTGATCGAAAATCATCACATGTCACCTTAACATAAATCCCAAAGATTGATTTTGCATCCAGTGTGTATTCTCGTTGTGAAATGTATGCTCAACTATTCCTTGTCACTGTTTGCTCCAGTTAGTTAAGTCATCGGAATCACGATTAGACTGGAAAAATACTGAAGCTGGTGGGATATGGTACCAGTCTGTAGTGTCTTCTGAGCTGCAATCTACGAATGTTTGGCGTGCGATTTGCTCCCGCCAAATGTAAGATGATGTTAAAGAACTGGACCACACTGACTCCTAGTTTAGAAATAGGGAATGAAGTGGTAGAGCACGTTCACCGATTCACTTATTTGGGAAGTACCATCAGCCAGCCCCAACGGGTTGATATCTGACGAAATCTCAACACAGATACAGAGGGCTAGTTTCGCATATGCCAGTTTACGCCATCTCTGGCTTAGTAGACGTGATATCCGGTCGGCTATCAACAAAAGGACGTGTTTACTGCTCAGCAGTTCGCTCCGTCCTCCCTTGTTTCTATGAGTGAAACATGGATATTGAAAGTGGAAGACATGGAAAGACTAGCTAGATGTCTTTGATAATGGGTGCCTGTGTTCTATCTCCCGTGTTAAGTGGTTGGCATAATAGGGTGAGTAATATTGAAGTTAGGCCCCAGTCGAGTGTTAGGTAAGGGGGAGGGGAATTAATCGATAAGGTTGTGAAGCAGCTGCATCGATTGAGTGAGATGGTTAGCACATGTGTTATACATGGATGCCTACCCATCGCCTTCCTTGATGACCAGCAATCTTAGCTGACATAGGGTGAAGTTGGGAAAGAGCTAGTGGTGGTCAAACTAAACCATGGCACCAGACATTCGAATCCACAAAAGTTAGTTTAAGCTAAGTAGGAAAGTGTAGACTTCCTGACTGGTTTGGGTCCTCGAGACGGTAAAAACCAATGGCTGAAAATAATTCGTGATATGGCTCAAAATCGTTTTCAGTGGCTGGCGCAGATTCATCCACTCCATGTAACTTATAATTTCTTCGATATTACTATTCCTTTTGTCTCACACCTCTGTTTACTGTCTGTACTATGCATTTCTTCTACTTTCTTCTCTTGCTTTGTATGCTACAAAGAGGGAATATGGCGACTGGAACTGCTGAACATCTGTGAAAGGTTCTACGGCGAAAACAGACAGTTTGTAACTGTCAGTGTGAGCCTTTTGTAGCGGTTAACTGGTTTCACTGCATAGGCTTACGATAACCGAATGCAGTATAGATCATCTGTAGGCTAATCATAGCTGCATATTTTCGTTCTTGAATATTCTAAGATTGACTCATGTGTTATTCTAATTTTTAATAATACTGTCGCAACCGATTCCTCCTCTCTGATCATTTTCATCGCAACCTGTCCCGGGACTTACTACTCATCTGTAATCTATCTTCCTCTTTGTTACTTTAAACGCCTCCCCCTCATATTGCAAATTTTCCGTAACTTTTTCTGTAACGAACTAATGGCTGGTGTGGCATTCTAACCTTTGACCCCCTGTACTTGAAAGCCGAGTGACTAATCACTCAATTAGGGTGCTCATCCAAATTGTTGTCGTTGTGTTTCTCACTCTTATCCAACAATTCGACTCTGTGTGTGTGTGTGTGTGTGTTCTTTAAAGTTGAATTTCCTATAACACTGGAACAATGTTTCAAGTATATACTTTTGTTTTTCGTTTGTTTTTTCTTTATAGCTTATTCGGTACACCTGGATCATCTATCACTACACTGATAATTGATCATAATCCAATGTTAAGAAATGTAATCATCTCAGATACACAACCATCTCCATCATGGATTCGAGTACTTCAAGCCACTACTCAATCAGCTTCAGCATTGGTCAGTCTGACAATTGATTTGCCTCAGAGTAAGTGTGGAAATTTTCAAATCAATTTATTAGAATGGTTAATAAATACCGGATTATTTGATATAAGCTATGGCTAGTAGTGTAAAAACCACACGATCCACCATGGCGTGCACGAGTGATATGGGAAACGGGCAGTTGAGATTCGCACTTCGCGCGTAACTTTCATCAACAGATCATATACATAAAACAACTGACTAAATAGAGATGTAACTCCTCGTTGGCTTAAACACTCCACTCTTAGTCGACGATGAATCCTGTGTTTGCGTTCTGTTTGACCTACTTCAACCGGAGCAGATGAGTAATGCCTAACCGTAACCCTAGTCGAGTACGTCAGACATCCTTTCTGAACAACCGAATTCTAACTGACTAATGAATATCTGACTGACTCGTCTGTCTGTCTGCTTTCGATGTGCAGCAGTTCAAGTCGCCACACTCCCTCCTTGTGGCACACAGAGCAAGAGAAGAAAGTAGAAGAAATGAATAATAGAGACAGTAGACAGGGATATGAGACAAAAGGAAAAGTGATAACGAAGAAAAAGGAGTGGATGCATCTGCACCAGCCATTGTGAACGATTTTGAGATATATCACCGATTGTTTCCAGCCATTGGTTTTTACCGTCCCGAGGACCCCAACCAGGAAGTCAGGCAGTCGATACCTTCCTGTATGTCTGGCTTAAACTAACTGTTGTGGATTTCATTTACTGGTGTCATGTTTTTGGTTTGACCACCACTAGCTCTTTACCAGCCTGATCCATCCTATCTCAGCTAACATTGCCCTTCGAGGTAGGCGATAGCTAGTGATGCATGCGTAACACATATCCTAACCATATCAGCCGATGTAGCTTCACAGCCTCGTCTATTGATTTTCCCTCGACGCTCACCTAGCATTCGACGCCTAACATCGAGTGTTGTTGTTACATATAAGATATCACCGCCTTTCTCCAAGGGTAGTGTTAGCCAACATGGGATTAGGTTGGAAAAAAGGTTAAAGGTGATCGAATCAAAACCTGAAATCAGTCTTTGATATTTGGTTTGAGCCAGCCAGAGACGTGCAGACCGCCTGACTGACGGGAGTCCTCGGGAGGCTAAGAACCAGTGACTGGAGACGATTGGTGATATGGATTAAAATCGTTCTCAATAGCACACATGTATGTACTCTTTGTGATCTCCTACAACCACTAAACCATCATATTTCCACACATTTCTGTTGTAGTTACAGTTCTTTTGAATATCTCTTCTCCCTGTGTTTCGCCTACCTTTATGCGTAACATGACAAATTCAACAGTGGAACTTCTGTGCAAAGTTCTATGTTGAAACTTGGTCAGTCAGTCAATCAGTCTGCCAGATTTATGTACATATGCTGTCTCAAGGTTGGTGTCGTTCACCTGACCTCCTTGAACCTATGGTATCCTATTGCTAAATTTCAAAAGTAAAACCTTCGCATAAAAATGCCAGCAACTGAAATTGTCATACTTTATAAAACTAAACATAAAGGTAGGAAGGGGGTAGACGTGAAAAGCAAAGAACCTACAATCAACGGAAATATACAGGGGAAAAAAAGACTAATTACATAGAGAATACTGTCTGTCTGTTTTCGACTCATTCCAATGTAGAGGTTCTCAGAGATGTGCAGCACTTCAAGTTGCCACTCTCCCTTCATGTAGCACACAAAGCTAGGCTAGAGAGTAAAGAGACAATCATCAACAGAGATAATATACAGAAGTATGAGTGAGGGAAAAGGAATAGTAGTGATATGAAAAAAGAACAATCGAATTTTATTGGATATGATAAATCACAAAGAGTGAATGCATCTGCGCCAGCCACTAAGAACGACTTTGAACCATATCATCAATTGTCTCCAGCTTTCATTGGTTCTTACCATTTCGACGACCTAAACCAGACACCTTATGTGTCTGGCAAAAACGAACTGCCATAGATTTGACTGACTGACTGATGAAGGCATGTTTTGTTTTGACGATCACTAGCTAACTCTTTTCCAATCTAATCCATCCTATGTCAGAGAGCTAAGATCGCCCGTCAAGTAAGGTGATGAATTAGCCAGGATTGAGTAACACATTTCCTAACCATCTCAGTCTATGCAGCTGCTTCACAACCTCATCGACTGATTGCCCCTCCTTACCTAGCACGCAACGCCTAACCTCAATATTACTCACCCTATTTCACCAATCGTCTAATACGGGAAATAGAACGCAGACCCTTATGATCTAAGACAGCTAGCCAGCCTTTTCGTACCTCCTTGTTTCAATGACCATATCTCACCGACAGGCATAAAGGTGGATGGGGAGCGAAGTGCTACTGAGCATTACACACGTCCTTTGGTCGACATCTGGCCAGATATCTCATCTACTGATTCAGAGATGGTGTTAGCTGACATATGCCGAGATTTCGTCAGTGATCAACCCTCTGGCGTTAGCTGCTGCAACGGCCCACAAGATACTTGAAGTGATCAATACTCTTAGTCAACATTTCACTCCTGTCTGTCTTATAAGCCAGGAGTGAGTCGATGTGATCCTGACATGTAATACCATCTTACATTTGACAACAGTAGCAAATCGCATGTCAAACATTTGAAGATTGCTGCTCCTCAAGGTGGCCAGAAGTCTCGGCTTTATTTTGTCAGCGTCTTCGTTTAAGAGGAAAGACTATATCATCGGCATATTCTTAGTCAAAGAAACTATTATTCCCTGTTAGTAACAAGTTAATCTCTAAGTCGAAGAGATGATGGCTCAATACGACGGTCTATCTATAGAAAGCCCACTTGGACAGGGCAATACCTTAGTTTTCACAGCTTCTGCCCATCACAGTATAAGAGGGGCTTAGTGAAGTGTCTATTCAAGAGGATTCAGCGTATTTGCACGGCTGATGTTATGGACAGAGAAAACGAAATATTAATGGATACTCTTGTTGAAAACGGATATCCTTTGAAATTTTTAAACAGGTGTAGAAGTCAACTAGCCTCTAAACCTACATTCCATACCGTCCCTAAGAAAAAGGTTTTTATCAAATTACCATATAACGGGGAAATAAACAGTAGGATTGTGAGACAAAGATTGAATTCAATCATCCGTAGAACCTACTATGCAGCCCAGCTTGTAATTGTGGAAAAAGCTAAAAATATGCTTCACTGTAAACCCCAAAAGTGCACAAGTGATTATATCACATCCCATACAATTTACCAATTTTCGTGTGTTTGTGGACATACATACATAGGGAGGAGTAATCGCGCTTTGCACGTGAGGGTGGGAGAGCATATCCCAAAATGGTTAGAAAAACAGATGAATTGTGACAAGCTAATAGATGCAGGTGGTAGACTACCAAATTCGTCTATAGCTAAACATCTAATCGAGATGAACCATAAGGTTGATGTTAACTCAGCCTTTAAGGTCATCTATAAAAACGGTCAAGGGTGTTTACTGAAATACGCTGAGGTTATAGCTATTCATAGACTCAAGCCCCCCTTGTGTATTCAAAAACAGTTTGTCATTACTCTTAACCTACCTTGGTAATCCTTATTTGATTGGATTACCAAACGTTTGTGTTAATTATTCTTAATTCCGTTTTCTCTCACTTTGTTTAATTTAACCTTTCTATATATATTGACTTGACAAGTAAATGTGTGATCAGATTGTTCGAAATGTATAGCGCTAATACATCACATTTTTCAGACAGTCTCCGTCTTCTAATAACGCTATCAAAATTTATAAAAGGGACTAATTGTTTTAAACAATCTCTAAGTCACTAGAGTCAATTAGCGTTAAGTCCAACAGTACATCGTTAATGAAATGAAATTCATCAATAACACATAACCCATAGATATTTAACTAGTTATCCATCAAGGTTCTAGTTTGTCTCTTGATAATGTAAACGCGTTCGTTTTTCTCTATCTAAGATTTATGAAATTCGACCAATGCATGATACCTCTTTATTTTGAGGTTATTGCCTAAATGTCTTTTTCTAAAACTTATATCCCGTGTTTTTAACCACAGAAGACAAGAGTCAGGCAACAGATCGTTTATTGAGAAAATCAAGAGATATTTATAGATTTTTATGTACATTACTAATCGTTATTGTTAGCAGAGGAGCAATGTCTTCTGATTGGTTGCTTTCCTGCAGAAGGTTATTGTGTCATCTCTTTGTTGGCGTTTCTAAGACAGTCTGTTGAGATATATCTGCGAATCATATCCACCCACGCAAAGTCTGCTATGATTGGTTGTTGAGTTCCTCAAGGCTAAGCTTTGTTCTAGTTTTCCCTCCTGACCCTTATTTGGGACACAAACATCAATGTAAATTGCTGTCTACCAATTTTTGCTTTCAGACAGCCCTCACCGCATGTTTTTTTCAGATACCGCTCTCGACCGATAGCTGCTACCTTGACGTGGTGGTCAAGCTTGCACATCGTGATAACCCAGCAAACAACACTGGCTGGAACCAATGTTCCTGCAGGTCCTGCCATGCCAGGAAGGTTGTTAGGATAGCGATTAGACTTAAAGCAGTCACTGGCATTGTGTAAGAATCTTTCTTACAATATGCTGGGGGGTCTGAGGACGAAGTCGTACTGCTGGGGAACAGGGGTGTAACAGCCGCAGTGAGGTGTTTCCCTCAGATGACCAGCATGCCAGCCAGCTGTGCTGGTCTCTCGACTCTGGAGAGAGCGGGTTAGAAAAGGTCGACCCCAACAACTGTACATCCCGACTTATTCTACGGTGATCCGTAGCTGGCATTAAGTTTACTAATACGGAACTAATCCCAAAAACCAGTTCATACAGGCCATGTGCGACCGGACTCAAGCAGTTGTCCCATGGGCTCTACGGTCACACAACACTAAGCCTCTTTCTGTTTTAGGCACCCGAAAAATCAAGCAACTTCCACGGTGTGGGCAGCCGGGAAGTAACAACCGCACACATACTTCCAGAAGCACACAAAGCCTTCCTGTGCATCAGTCCCTGTCAGATACCACTCATTTATGTATATATGTACACTTTTAAACTGTAATTTACACTTGAATGTTTACTGTTTGTTTTTATTCTCTCTCTCTCTCTCTTATATAGTTCCAGAGAATAATCTCGATGCTTTGACAACTGCATTCACTGCCGTCGAATCAAAACTGTTACCGGTCTTATCACCTACACCTTTACAAGAATTAGTTATTGTTCATTACAAGGCTATTCAATGGACACCTCCTAACTTTTGCACTGACAGTAACAATAACAATAGTAATAATAATAGTAATGCTCAGGTCAATACAAATTCAGGCGATAATACTGCTATTCATCGTTTCTTATCTATGCTGTCAAATTTATTTACAACACGTTTTGGTAAAATGGTTAAAATTACTAATAAAAATTATCGTGTTACTTTTAGCATTTTGTGATAAAAGTATATTTTGTTTTATTAGATAGAAGAAAAGTAATGCGGAGTGAATTTCAAACTGTCCTTTTTAATAGGAACATGTTTTTGTCTTCTTTACTTACTTCTTTTTTCGTGGGATATATATATATATAAAAATATATATATATATATAATGTAATAAATGTGTAAGATGTGTGCTTTAATTTTGTACTTGCTTCGCATGCTTACATTTCTCATATGTACTCCTATTTGTACAGATGCTTTCTTCTGTGATTTTTGTCTTTATAAATATTTTTTAGAATATATATATGTATATATTGAATATTTCTGTTGTGTTATGTATTATCTATTAGTTTCTTTAAAGTATGTCGCTGGTTCCATGGTAGAATACTCGCCAATTACTCATCAGCATGTTCTGGTGTCCGATTCCTGGTTGATACACAGTCCTAAACCTCACCTAGTGTTTGGTAGCTGGTGCAAAGAACCGAAGAGATGGGGAAGGTGATCGGTTGGTCTTGAGTTAGTGAGGCTAGAAATTCGACCAGTAAAGACAATAACCAAAACACTGACACCATCGCTATTGAAATCTTAAGGTGTATACTCTACTCGGAATGCTAGGAATGAAAAAGCTTCCTTGAAAGGACTCAAATTTTTTTTCGTTCATAGCTACTTCCTAATTATAGTGTAAGATGATTATATCCAACCAGATCTGCCTTTCAGGAGCTATTGACTATAATTTAAGTAAAGCATGCTAAATATTGTTCTGAAGATGTCCAGAAGGACGACGAAAGCTCCGCAACTAGACCAACCAGCTCAGAGAACACTATTAGTTGCAAATATTAGTGTTTCTTCAAATAATATCGATTTGTTTCAGGATTTCATCATGAGCTGACACTAGTTAGAGAACCATTGGAAAACCAGGACGAAACAGCTGTTCAGTACTCCCAGGTTTTCCAATGGTTCTCTAACTAGTGTCAGCTCATGATGAAATCCTGAAACCAACCAAATCCCTACAAACCAACACTTAAATATCGATTTGTTAAGTAAGATCGATGGAATTACAGTTTATTATAGATGTTGAAATTATAATAAAAATATAGGACACCAACTAAAATTAGGGAAATTTCCACAACCAATTGAGGATCATTCGAACCTAGATGGCCGAGGTAAAGACAATGTATGAACTACTTCCTGAAGAGGCTTTATACTTACAAATTCACTTCCTTGGGGACAACATCAGCGAGATACTATCACAACGCCTTGGAAACTCAGTAAAAGGAGCATTCCCGGCTGCTGAATTACGCTGTGTCTTCAAAACCGCCCACTCCGCTTTTGCTTTAAGGGAGTAAAAGAAAAACTGCCTAGTTTCGCCTCTTCCATTTGTATCTACCAATTTAACTGCTCCTGTGGAGCTAGTTACATAGGCTGCACAGTTAGGCGGTTGTCTGAAATATTGTCCTGAGTTCTGTTCTGGTTCAGTTGCCAGTGTGTTGTAGAATTGTCTTTCGTAGCACTCTCCTTCACTTATTTAGTACGGTGTAGACTGAACTCAGCTTCTCCTTCTCTTGTCCATCTTTGCATTGAGTTATATTCTCTTTCCACATCCTCCTCTCTCATATTTTATAAGCCTTCAGGTTGATGTCCATCGAAATCCGTTCCTTATCTTGTCTCTTCCCACTTCCTAGAACAGCTGTACACGTTTCCTTGAACATCACCTTCAAAGAGTTAGTTCCGATGTTCTTCCTCAGTGGTATCGCGCAGTATCTCCGACTTTGCTCCGATCTCCTCAATAGTGAAGACATCCTTCGCAGTTTTGCTTTTCAGTTGCTGACTGTTGAACTTAAATTGCCGTGGCCTCTTTCCAGTTGTTTTGAAAGCTTTCAGCTTCGCCTTGAATGTTCTTTGAACTAGCTGATATTCTGAGCTAATATCCGTTCACCTCCTCGACTTTGTGTTCAGCAAGCTGCGTATCCACTTCCTTTAGCAACATTGAGATGAAGTTGAAGTGGTTTGTGGCATATACGTCAGGCAAAATCCATGTCGCTTTATTGATATCCTTGTGTTTGGACACGCTTCCTCCGATCAGCAAATCATTGAAAGCGCAGAAGTCTGCAAAGAGTTTCCTGTTCTCATTCATTTCTCCGAGATGCTCTCGATCCATGATGATTACTTTTTCTTTATTATCTGCCCCCAGTTTTGCTTCCCTTCATATCTTTCATGATGGTTCTGATGTCACCATTTGGGAAGCTGTCCATTGCTGTTTGAATTTTCTATTAAATTTTTCCTACTTCTCCTGTTCCGCAATGTTTCTAGCACTATGCGTGGCATTGGATATTTGTGAGTTGAAACTTCCTTTCTTCCAAGTTGAGTCTTGCCGTTAGAATCCTGGATGAAATCCGTTCCCGCTGCATTAAGGCCTTGGCTGCCCCTGGTAACATTACGATAGTCACTCACGACCTTAATGAGCTCGTGGTTGTCATCTGCGTGGCTGAAGCAGATTAATGACTCTCCAGTTGACGATTTTAACAGTCCACATGCATTCCATCTGCTCTCGCAGATATGCAGCAGTTCTATACCACATATTCTCATTTCTTTGGATACCTGGGCAGCTTTCCCATTCTCGTACATTGCGTGGAAATTCGACTTCCCCATTCTTATTCTAGCATCCATCGAAGGAGGACACATCAGTTGACTGGCTTCCTAAGGCTTTCGCCTCTCAAATCCAGTGAAGAAAAGTCTGTTTTAAGATATTATTTAGATTTTTAGTATCTTTCTGCGAGAGTTTGATCAGATTTGTGGTGAATGTTCGCTAGTCTCCCACCGAAATCTCTCTCTTCATCCGGTGTCAATGGAGTTGAAGATTGAACGATCAACTCTTGGTTGTTTGCTCAAAATCAACTTCCCCGATTTTCGCGGAGGCATCAATACGACAGTCATCGTCTCATCGGTCGCTGTTCAGAAAGAAGAGTAAAATATCGTCAGAAGTAATACAACGATTTATTATTGTAATATTTGTTTACAGACCTTAGTTTGCTTAGTTCGCTTATTCCTTTTATATGTTGGTGTAACAATAAACAAATCTCAAGCGGCAGATCGGTGTTTTGGTTTTTTCGTCCGTTATAACTAAGCGTTTCCGAAATCTTCGAAGAACAGCGTGGGCCCGAGCGTAGCAAGAGCTGGGCATTAACGGTTTATGAGACGTGATTGACAGTTTATTATGGTAAAAACAGATCTGGCGGATTCAGACAGTTGGTGAAAGTTTGGATAGTCGCCGTTCATTTTTCCTGGTGCCGGTCAAGTCCTCTTTGAACAAGCAATATCTGGAACTTTTTTGGAATTGGGTCAAGTTCAACAATGCCTGGGTCAAAGAAGGGACAGAGTGTCTTGGATGCAAACAGGAAAGTAAGTCATGGTGACTTGTCTGTTAATTGTAACGATGTGTCTGATGTTAAGCATGACATGGTTGATGTTACTGTTTCGCCGTTCAGGGATAATAGGAACATCAAACTCCCTAAATTTGAACCACGGTGTTTTGATGGAAACCCGGCCGATTATTTACAATTTGTAAAGGAGTTTGAGATCATGTTGAGTGGTTTTCTATTAAATGATGAATTGAAGTTAATGTATTTGATGAGATATTGCACTGGAGATGCTGCAAGAGCTATACAGTGCTGTAAGTTTATGAAGCCAAAAGAGGGCTACTACGAGGCTATGAGCATATTACGTCAAAGGTTTGGAAGACCTTCGATGATTGCAGGGAAATTATTCGAGGCTGTTAAGGGTAATGGTGGTCAATTACAGGATGACTCCCAGGCACTCACTGAGTTTTTAGATAATTTGCTAATTTACAAGAATGGAATGATTTCGATGAATCGCGTGAGTGACCTCAACTCGAGTTTTATACTAGAAGTAATAGCAAGACGTCTACCTACTCGACTGCAAAGGAAGTGGGTGAAGATGAGCTCCCGTATGGAGGATGAGGGTATCGAGCCAAAGTTTGATGATATCCTGAAACTGGTAAATACTAGTGTCAATCAATCTATGAGCAAGTTCGCCAGTCTATTACATCTCACCCCTAGAATAGAGCAGTCTGAGAGTAAAACGCAATCATTGATGACGAATAGGCCTCAGAGAGGTGGATATCGAGAAAGCTCCATGATGTCTAGTAATGCATATAGACCTAGTGAGTGTAACAGGTTTCGTAGTACATCCTCAACAGATAAGTTACAAGATGCAAGACAAACACGGTTTTGTTTTACACGTGTGCAAGAGGTGCATACAGAAGTGAACTGTGAACCGGTGAGCAAGTTCAGTGATAAGCTAAATGTAAACTCCAGGTCTGACTCCGAATTGTGTGACGATAACGGTGCGGTGAAGAAGTCTGTAGTTGCAGCTGGTAAGCCGTTGTTGAATAGAGTGTCACAGAATAGAGTTACTGCTTCAGAGTGCAGTTCTGACCCTACAAGTTTACAAGGTATTACTAGTCAGAGTGAAGGTATAAAACCTTTTATGATTTGCGAGGAGGAACCAAAATTGTCTACTTCTGTTATTAAAGAGTTTGAAAATGATGAAGTTGACGGTAAAGTGAATATTCGTGATAATGATCATGATACTTCACAGTTGTCTTTGGTTGATCATTATGAGATGAGGGATATGCCTACTACTGCTAAGTTAAATAAAGGTTCTGTACAACTACAACGTGAAGTAGAATTGAACGCAGATGCAGTTCCAGAAGGTGTGCATACTTGTGAGACAGTCAGTGTAATTGATCAGCGTGTAGCCCACCTATCATCAGATGATAGTGCTAAACCCGAACTAGTAGTGAAAGACAGCAGTGGTGGTAATCTTGCAGTTGGACAACTATCTGAGAGCCGAACAAGAACAGCTTCTGATCCACCACTAAGTTCATCACCTTGTGTCACTCAGTCATCGTTGGTGCTGTCATCCACAATGAAACAGACACCCATCAACTCAAGTATCTTGTGCAATGACTATGGTAGTATCAGTTCGTTTGAAAGGACG